GTGATGTCATACCTAGTATTCTGCCCCTACCAAAACCTCTACTGCCATCTATTTATTCATTTTATTTATAGCAACTATGTTTTTGTAGTATTCTATTTATATAAACTTTACCTGATTTGATAGATGTCGCTTTTAATTGACTCCAATATATTGCACTATTTGACCTCGTTTTGAATCAAAGTCTAAAAAGAAAAAAGAAACAGGTGAATGTTTTATGGTAAGTTATCGTTATTTTCTGCTTGTCTTAGTCTATTAGATGTACAGAAACTTAGTCTACAGAGTCATGACTACTCAAGGAAATTATTAAGAAGTTAAGATGATTATATGACGGATGGTAAGATAGGATAAAAGGAGAAACTTTTCAAATAATTTTCTATTTGTTTTTATTTTTCAATGAAGGCATTGAAGCAAATGAATGGATGAGTCATAACTTTATGGGAGTCAAACTTTTTGGTATAAAATTTATTAGTGTTGCTAGTTTGTGAATAATCTGATGTACAGTTAAAATGACATGTTTAGTGACAACTTTGAATCTGTCATCATCAGTGACCACATCTGCAGAAAATTAAAATTACAAAGGTAAGGCTGATTATTCATACTTTCAGAAATTATGTCAATATAGATTCTGTTATTCGCTCTTGAAAGCCAATTCGGTCGCATTCTGCGAAAAGCCACAGCTTTACTGCATACCTAACTTTCTGAAATATACAAAAGTTAGGACGGGCACTCGGATGTATTTCTATTTTTCTATAATGTTGCAATGTGGTCATTCGCTCGCTGATTCAAAGAAGTTGTCACTAAATATGTCATGTTGACCGTCGAGTTATTTACCATATGCACTGTTAACCCCCGAATGTATATATATTTGCACTTTTTCTTAGTTTTGTTTTTTTAATTACCGTGACATTTATTGAGGTATCTAGAGGGTCTAGCCCTAAGAGGGACTGTTAGATCGATCTTGTTATAGTCATAGATAAGTCTTGTAACTACAATTCTGGAAATTGTTATGTTAATAACTTGTGACATGTTGCTCAGATATACAGTTTTCCCCATCTTTTTTCTACTCAGTAAATTTCATTTTGCTCGAAAAACATCATTGAAATCACCTTTACATCAAGGGTATAAGGATTGAACATTGAAAACTAAACTTCTGTTTTTCTAATCTATTGACAATTTAAATATATAGGCCATTATAAAGTCCTTATCTTTCAATGCTAAATACAAACGATCTAAAAGTCAATGAAAATATTTGTATATGTGTTCAACTTGTACATGTATATATAGTAACCCACTAGGAATAGATGTTACCGATAGTTTTTGGAATATGCATATTATATTATTTAAGAGAGAAAATATGGTACAATAAGTTCTACCTGACAGTCACTTAAAATTAAAGTGTCACAAATTTCCGGTTAAGTCATTAAAGAACGTATTTATTGATTGAGTAAAGTAGTTTCTTTTAAATCAAAATAAATAAGTCCAGAGTTATACACATTATATGTACACCTGTGCATTTTATATGTTTTATTTTATGAAAAAGAGAATTGATTGCTACTAGCCATTAAATATTATTTTGAGACTGATCCTGTACTAATTAGATGGAATAACTTCATATCCACTTAATAGGGAGGAAATACTTGTGGGGCTCAAATTGAAATTGTTGCAATTGGATTCCTAAATAAAAGTTCCAACTCCATTGCCAACTTTATTTCCTGGAAATGTGACCACATACAAGATAATGTAAAGGATGTTATAGAGGAGAAAATAGAAGCAGGTCAAAATGACCTAACTAACAACCATCTGTAATTATCTTTCCACCTTTCTGAAAGCAATCACAAATGTCAATTAACAAAGAACCTAAAATGAATAATAACTTCCAAATGGTGATATGGCAGAGCTTCTTCTTTAAAGTCAGTATGGTCTGGTAGCTTTTTAACAGACTTGTCATGTACATATCTTTTGAGATTCCTAAAAAGCTTCTTTTGAACTAGATTCATCCTCAGTTCACCTTTTACTTTTTGAACTGATCATATTAATCTCACATGTAGATTTAATGGTCTCTGCCGATATTTCACCGTTTGTCATATGGGCATTAATATAGTGGCATGATCTGATAAATAAAATTAATTAAAAAAAAATTTTGATGGAAGTTATATACATGTTAATTAAGGCACTTGTACCATCATACGGATATCTAGTACTTGACTTGATGTATGCTACAAATTAGGTTAACATGTTTTGTACCAGGACTTAGGGTCAACTTCTCAACTTTGTTTTAGATATAAACAGTAACACCTGAAAAGTAGAACACCTGTACTGTAAGTGGAACACCTCTGTAAGTAGAACACCTCAATAAGTAGAACACTTTTCCTGTTACCTATTACTTAATATAAAATGAATCTTCATAAATAGACAACTACCAAGTTGAATACTGTTTTGATATGATAAAAGCACTCTGCCTATACAGGTTTTACTATTTGTACAGTTCAGTTCAATACAATACAATTTGTACAGTACAGTTCAATACAACATATCGATGATGGATGATGTCTTGTATTAAAGCAATCACTGTTTTTGGCACTGAAGGTTTTTTCATTTTCAATGATCCCACAATAAGTATCTACATTCATAAAATTCAAAATGTAAACTCAATTTACAATATGATTCAGATATGAGTACTTTTTTCTCCTATATAAATCATTTTAAGCGTATATATTGATAACGTGAATAGAAGGCATGGCACAATTTGCATCTTTTGAATAAAAAGGGAAATGATAAACACTGTGTGGAAGTTACCTAGAAATCAAAAATTACTAATCTCCCTTCATATTACTAAAGAATCATTCTATATCAGTGAGGTTATCTTGACTTCATGGGCCATATATGACTGATATTGTATATGGTCTATGATCATTAGCACTTCAGATATGACCAGCCATCATTAAAACATCACTTACACCAATGGTATGCTAGACTTTTTATTTTAAGGTTAAAGTTCTCATTGAGAGCTAGGGAAACTTCTATATCATATGATATCATGATCAAATTTACTTTTTTGACAAGCTTGGTCAGTACTAGGATCTTTTTATATATACTGGATTAGATGAGGTACCATCTATCAGTATACATCAGAATGGTACATATTGGTAGATGATATCCATTTAGGGTCACTGTGTTGTGTGTCATGAATAGAAGACCAACAGAATAGGGAATGTAAGATTTATTTTTGAAGGATAATCGTGATGGGTGAGATAGTGAAGGATACATTCGAGTAGACCTTCTTCAGGCAATACTAAACTTATTTCACATTTATATAAATGGACAAGTAATTTTTGTATGATACAGAAATAAATTGATTGATTTATTTTCAGGTTACGCTTAAAAAAGAACAAAATGGAGTATTGAAACAAAATATTTGGATACAATGACAAAATCTTCAAATACTGAATCTCAAGTTACACTACACCAGGAAACATAAGACCACTAAAGCTAGAGTCCTCAACAGGAGTAACTTAAAAACCTAAATTTACATTTGTGGTAAAAAAAATCAGCAAGAGACAAAAACAATGAAGCCATATACATTTAGTGCCATTATCTCAGGGATTTTTATATTATATTCGGTGCTATCATTTTGTGATGGACAAGGGCGTGTATGGACAGACCCAGAGCCAGAGCCAGGAGATCCTTTGCCTCCTGGAAAGTTCAAAGGACGTAGCTGGAGGTCAGGGGGTAAGTACATTATTATTAAGTGTTTTTATTCCAAATATATAACCTTCTTCTCAACAATAGATTTATTCTCAGCTGACTTCTGAATTCTTAGAACTGACCAGTCATTATACATTTAAGCCCCCCCCCCTCCCTGCATTCAAGGGTTAAGACACTTGTTTCAATATTGGTAAACTTGGTAGGCAACCCTTCTTATTTATACTCTACTATGCTTCAGGAGTTGATTCTGTTTCAATTCATTGCAACTTTTTTTAAAAAAACACTAAGCTCCCCATTGAGAAGAATTTCCATTTTATGGGTAACCCACTTCTTTCAAATGAAATTCAAGCTAAAAATGCTTGCACCATATGGTCATAATGTTAACTATTCACTATGTAAACATGGTTTATAAACAATTCTGTCCTGAAGTTTTGTTTAAAATTCTAGGATCATAGTTTTGCGTTTAGGTCTAGTGCTTGTGTTGAATGATATGATAGAGTAAGGGACTGTTTGTCTTCATGATTTATCTGTTTTTAACCATGAAGTCACATTTCTGTTTATGTTTGAAAGAAGTATGAAGAACAGTATTCTTTTCTATAAGTTCTGATCAAATAATTAGTTTGTATGTACAGACTCTAAAATACCTGCCCCCTTAGTGTATTATATATACTCAAGAGCAATGTACTGTCACTATTTTGATGTTAGAGGAAGTGTTTGGTTGTCTAGGTAACATGATTGTGCAATCTTTTAAGTAACTCACTTACACACCTCTTGAAGGGAAAGAATGTGATAGAGCTGTATCTTAGTTTGATATGTATTGCCTGATTATTTAATTGCCTCATCCTATTATCTCACAATAAGGTCTAATTTCTTATTTGGTTAACTTGATCACTTGTAAGGAATTAGAGGATGGCAATACCTGTATGAGTGAAAACAATAATTAATAAAATATTTTGCTAGACCAGCAAACATTTCTAGTAACCAGCATACTATTCAGTTATTATAATGAATGAATGATATTCAATCTGTTTTCTTTATATCATAGGAAATTAAATAATACTGATGTCACTTGGGCAGGGGTTTCATTAGCAGCAGGCAACAGGTGATTTTCACCGGTTGTTTTTACAAAATCTCCTGTTGTTTTTAGGGACTTTCCAACTTTTCCATGTTAAATTTATGATTTCCATTAATTTTGCCTGTTGTTTTCATTTATTTAGCCTGTTTTGAGAAAAAAAACTGCTTGGGTGTGTCAATGATACATGAATCAACTTAAGTGTTTTTATTCTACAATTATACTAATATATACAAATAACTACATCATTATGTTTTTTATACAGTAAAGTTAGAAAATGTGACTTCTTGCTTTTGCTTGTTTAGGATCGTAGGAGGCCTACAGCTCATCATCATGTCCTGTAACAATGTCTTTATTACAACCATGTGCAGTAGCACTGTCTTTATCACCATCATGTCCAACAGCAATGTCCTCACCAGAATCATGTCCATTGGCAATCTCTGAGTTATATTGGACACCCATATCAACATAAACACGCTTGTTTTGGGGAATGTATAAAGGTTGGTGTTTGTTAGTATCTGAGTGAATATTTTTTTGAAGTTTATCACCATGTTCCGACAGTGATCCATATAGGTGTCGCTGCTGTGTATTATCATGTGTTACAACAACCATATCTCCCAACTCTCTTTCACATAGATTTGGAGGGATGAATATGGTTTGGGCTTCGTTAGTGTCTGAGCTGATTTGAGTCTGATCATAGCCATGGTGGGAGCTGGCAAGTAGGCGGTCTTCTTCCCCTGGGGTTAGCCAAGGTACTGTGTGCTGGCGCCCTCCCTGCTGGTCCCTGGCCCCTAAGATCCTGTCTCCCACCTTCACTGGCACATTGTCACATACTTTTGGAAGTAACACACCTAGAAGGTAGAATACAAATTGGGAATCATATCAAAATAATAATGTATTTTGACTTGATTAAACTCCCTTTGGCTCTTTTACCTAATAGCTTTTGTTTCTTTTATCTCTGATAAAATTGAAAAAACTACTCTAACCTTAGAAACTCTTACCTTGAAAAAGTTTTGAAAAGTAGAATCTTGCCAGGCTTCCTCTGAATGCACAGCTGAACACCAGCAGGATGCTCTCCCATCCTTTCACACCAATTTCTTCAGGAGGACCTGGAGAACAAATATACATTCTACATGCATTTCTCATTCTTGACTTGTTTACAGCACATTTAATATCAAGGAACGGCAACCATGACTCTGAATTCTGAAATGATTAACCATGCCATTCAATTATTTTCATTTATTAATCTCTTGAAGTACAATGATTTTTTCTCTCTTAAATAGGGTTGTTGATCCTCTGGGCATTTTCCTAATGGGCATTTTCCTATTAAACTGAAAGATGAGTACAGGCATTTTATTAATTCCTCTTTCATGTCTTCATATCATATCTTACATTTTATAAACTAATTATGACATGTTTAAATTACAGTTATACAGTATATGCCTTACCTGTTGTCGTATAACCATCTGCATTGCTTGTACTGCCCATTTTATTTATAGACTTTGCCACAAGTGAAGTATCATACAAGAAGAATGCCACCATTCTTAATGCAAATAGACCAAGGCTCATATTATACACATGCATCAATAATGATACCCAATGAGACTTTGATGTTGGGCTTAGTATCCCTTTTAAACTTGCTTTCACTGTCTGTCTGGCTATAAACCCCCAGGCTGATGCCAGCATGACAATTAGAAAAGCCTCTACTGTGGTTGAAAGTACAAGTTCAGGTTCATTACTTGTATTATTAATATGACCTAGATCTACAGTAACGGCGCATGTTATCCACAGGCCTAGTAGCAAAATCCATAGAATGAAATGCGCCATTTTAGGAAGAGCTCTTAAATATTGCCAACCATAGAACCGCTGCCATTTGAATATTACAACCAGAATAATGATCATTGCAACAATTTCAACTGTTGTTCCCATATGGTATAAAGAATCCATGAAACTTTGTGAAACATTCATGTATTTATCGTCAGGTTTGGAGTCATCTTCATTTGTTGTGTTTGTTGTTTTCCTAGGTCTGCCACATTTCTCCAATAGTTTTCCCTCAAAGATACAAATCAGGCTCATCACAAAGAACCCCGTCATGAAAACACTTCGTATGATTGTTAAACATAATAATATAATTCCAATCACTTTTACTCCAGTGGCATTTATCTTGCAAGCCATTGTACGAGAAATGTCTCACTTGAACACAGAAAATTCACATTTTGGTTTCAATCTCAGTTCGAGGAATGAAGGGCGCCTTGTATTTGCCTATCCGGAAGATAGATATTTTACCTATTTTCAGCTCATTAGTTTTAGTTTCATTTTCGAGAAAGCGAGACATTATTTGGATGCTTTTCTAAGAATCAAGTAGAATCAAGATGTGTTATTGTTATATCTCTGTATATACGCATTTTATACTCCAAATACTTCAGCGCTCTATGATTTAAGAACTTAATGCTCATAAATCTATTTTTCATGTATATGTATTGCTCGGTATTATAACTTTTTATTATATGTGTTAAATTCTGAATGTAGGAGGAGTCTGACACTCAACTGGGAATGTCAATGCATGACTATGAATCATACAGTAAGCTATTAGAATTCCCAACGAAGTAGTTTTTTAATATTTGCTACCTTTTTCTATTGTGATTACCTCTTTGAATCAAGACTTAGAAGTGTGTTATATCAAACACATATTTCATTCTATTAAGTTAAATACCAGCGCATCTTTATTTGTTTTATTTTATTACCGTCAAGCTCACTATCCTTTATAAATATTAATTCATCATATGTTTAATTAAGGTGACATTGAAAAAATACATTTATACAAACTATAGGCTAAAACCTCTATTCATGTGAAATAGTTAAAATCTTGATATTCACTTTAATGGAATAAATTTATTTTGAAAATTCCCTGAAGCAAGTGAACCAGTGAATCTCATCTGATCTTTCATATCACGAGACCTAGTTCTACGTAAATATTCATATTTTTGTGGGCAGTTATGTTGAAGAGATCATCAGCATGTTGGGAAGTGTGAGTAGGTGATGCTTTGATGTGGAGGCTGAGGTTGCATTCAAAGCCTGCTTCCTAAAGTTTTTATTATCTTTCCCACTTAGAAATGATAGATTCATGTTATTTCTGCAATATTCAAAGTCAATGTTATAAATATGTGCCTACATGTACTGTTACTGATATTAGGAATATGTAGTCTACAGATTTGGTATTTTTTTGAGGTCGTGCTACACATCCGCTTAAAATATAACTTGGAACAAGATGACATGTTACTGATTTATTTGAGTTGCTTCTCCACCTCAGCGTCCTGTCTTTGATCAAGATTTACCATTTATTTAAAATACTCATGTCATGGCATCCTGTATGTGTATAAAAAACTATTATATACATTAACATGATGTGGTTGAAAATTAGACAAGACATTCACTTTATGTGCATTTTGCATTTCTGTAACATTTTTTAACCCTTTCACTTAGATTGGGGAGCAGAGGGGACAGTGACTTGATGAAGGGTGCATCTTCTTGTGACTGATAGAGATGGGAGCTGGTGACTTAAAATGGGACAGAGTCTATGTTCGGTTCTATTCTACTCTATATCATGAGAATCCTACTTTTGCATAAGTTCTTTGTTATGTCAGACATCTGTCCTTGTTCTGTCATCTTTTGGCCTCTTCTCATCCTCCACAAGTCATAAATGGAAGTCTCCATCAGGAGACAGTGGAATAGTTTGATGAGTCTATGAGACCACCGTTCCTGTTTCACATAAATATAAGTTGGCAAATATTCAAGTATTGGTGGTCAGAATAAATCAAACCACAGATTTGGGGTTTCAGAAAAAAGAGTACATGCTTGGATGTATGTGACGATTCCAGAGAGACTGAAACTATACATAGACACCATAAATATTATGGTTTTGTGCCTGTGTTTAAAATGTTACATTGATCATGCATATTGCACATCACTTTCTCTATAGTTTGAACAAATTATCACAATGTCAAGTGCATCCATACAATTAAACATATGAATTTTTTATATGTGTTCTTTATGTTTTGTTTATTGCACTATTTTTTCTGTTCAAAGTATAACAACTGTATTATTATTCATTTCGGTCGCTTCCTGCATTTGTATCAGAGCTATCAGTTCAATCCAGAGTCCTGTAGTTTCTATTTCAAATGTTAGTTTTACCAGAGTAACTTTACAGATCATATTTCTGTTTTGGAATAATGGTAGGCAAATATTGGTAAGAGTTGCAGGAGAATGTGAACTAATTCATTCTGAATTTATCAGAGTCCCTCTTTAGGTAAGGCTGTCGCTTCCTGAGAGTAAAGGCTGTGGAATGGGATGGTGGTATTTTATTCCTTTATAGAGGTATTGCCTAACTTTAGCCAGCTCATAAATATCTTTTAATCAAAACATGATTGGCCAATATCTGATTTTATATCAATTTTGGATATTATTAGACATGCTTCTGCATACTGAAAGATTTAAATTTCAAACAATGTAGATAAATATCTATTGCAGTGATCTCCCAGCATTAAAGCAAGTGGGCGTAGCACCCACCTGAGAATTTGAAAACAGGCTTGCGCCCACCTGAAAATCTATGTGCACCCACTTCAAAATGAGAAGTCATGAAAAATGGCATATTTTGACCAATTTTGGTCTGAATTGTGAAAATGAGAATTTTGCACCCACCTGAGAAAAAATTCTGGGGAGATCATTGATACAGTGTACAATTAGTATCTTTTCCAGCTTCTGTACACTTGAAGTATATATACTCAGGGATGTTATCCCTGGAACTATATCTGAGCCCACTTTCTTCAGACCAGATAATGTTTTTTACTGACATTGCTTACAACCCTTGAAATTACCCTCTCTGAACATGTAAATACTTTTAATGAGCGTAAGTAGTAAAATATATTTTCCTACCCCGGGGAATATTTATGTAACCTGAATACTGAGTTTGATTATGTTGTTTAGGGTGTTGCCCCAGCAACAGTTGAAGCTAGTCTACACTCAGATCATGTACATTTCTCAATTATTCTCTATGATTTGAGTGTCAAATGTTCCAGGATGTCAACATCATTATTACTTTCTATCTCTTATCCATTCAACTCTTTTGGCATAATTATTTCTTTTCATAATTTTGTTTTTTATTTTTGTATGGGGAAGCACCTGTTTTTGTTGTTAATGTTGATGATGGTGCATGTTGATTCTCATCACATATGCCGTTTAAGAAATTCTTTGGTAGAAGAAAATGCTACGAAATGGTTTACTGCGGGGTTTCACTTCTGATTACAGGTAAAACAAATGAAAATAACTGGTAAAAGTATCTGAATTATACTTATTTAAATATATCATAATTGTACAAATTAAAATAAATGGCAATTTTGTTAAAAACAACTGAATGGAATCCTGCTAAAGAAATCCTTGTATTTAAAAGGCAGCTATATTGATGTTGATCATCTGAATTGTTTTTTCAATTAAAAGCTTGAACAATCCTTGAAACACTTTTGAGGTTCTCAATTTCCATGTTTTAACTTTTCTGGTATATGTATATAACATAACCATGGGTATCAAGATCAGTCTATTTACACCCGGTCCCAGCATGTAGGCATATCACATTGAACTTAACCTCTAAAAAACTTCTATCTGCAGCTCATCAGTAAGCAATTTCTTCAATCTGTAATAATTTCAGAGTGATGGAAAACCAATTGCTCAAATTGAGTACAAATTTGGTATATCATTTGAACTGAATGTGTGAGGTGATTCCCTATATCAAAAAGTAAATTGTATTTATTCCGGGATTTTGATGGTAGACTTTGCAATACATGTACTAGAATTTGGTCCTTTTTGTCACTACTCTATTGTTATATGTGTGTATCTTTTTTGACTCATTTATGTAATCTGTTTCTTTTCATGTAAGTTAAAAATGTTCTTGTCTGGTATATCATTGAACTTGAACCTAACTAGTCTTACCAGTTCAGAGGCATGTAGTTTGATATTTGATTAGTGAGCTATGGTACTAATGACTCTCAGAACACCTCTGGAATGTTCCACATTGATCTTGGCCTCTTTACCTCAATTGCAGGGGCAGCTTTCACATAAGGCCTGGAATTTTCTCACATGCTCGGTTTTGCCAAAAATGCAGTTACATAGGAAAATTTTATCACTCAAGGATAGGATACTTTTTTCCATTCTTTCTCTTCCATTTCTTGTAACCGAAGTCCTGCTTACTAGTTGTGGTCAAATCTGGGAGCTCAACAGTGCTTTTGCTGTCTGGAATTTTATTTGCCCTCAAATCAAAATTCCAGATTAGATATGAAGATGGTATACATTTCAAGTGAATGGATCTATGAGTCTGTACGTTTGACTATCATTCTCAAATATAAAATTCTGATTTTGCACTGTGTTCACTTTGGTGGTCATAAACTTCTTTTACCATCCATCTTTCATCTGCACCTCATTAGATTTGACATAACTGTTGTATTTTAAAAGGTCTATTTAGTCATAAAGTCATACTGGTTTGGTTGAGTGCTATCAGGCTGTTGTCTTTCATCAAGTGAAACCATTAACAAGAATATTAAGTATTCACCAAGGACCAAACTCTGGCACTTAGATTCTTGACATAGTCCCATGATGTATTTTAGGACAGACATTCTGAAGACTGGTTCTCTAGAAAGTTTCAATCCAAAGGAAAACATTGCCCAGAAACTCCAGCCATGGAGTGGCCCTGGATGTTAATTAGGTCACAAATATACATGTACTTTGCATGATTTTTGTATGTTGGCTCAATGGGCTACAACATTGGGAATTAGATTCATCCAAGTTTTGATGTGCCATTTACTTTGACCAAGTACATGCTAATGATGCTTTACAATTCCCCAGGTTGATTACTAGCTATGATATATAGCTATACATAGATATACATTACTTTAACCATATTAATACTTTATATACCATGGAACTATATATTTTACTTTTTATGTGAAATTTTAACTTGAGCAGCATCAGGGGATTTCCCTATGTTGCCCTTTGAGGATTTCTTTATCAAGATCTCCAAAATTAGAAAAAACTTGGTGTCATTCTATCTTTCAATGTGGTTTGCTTTAAAGTGGTGTACATTTTCCTCTCTATCTCCCTTGATAGTTTTACACAGTGATATAGTACTGTATCATTTTATAGTCCTGTATCATGATATGTTTGCTCCTGTAGTCTACAGTATAATTGTCAGACTCCCATCTGAATTCTGACCTAAAGTTCATTTCAACATTTTAGTATGAAGTTTCCATCCTGAATTAAATCCTGAAGGCAAAACCAAAGATTTGATAAATTTGATGCAGATTTAAACAGAACAAAAATGCAACACATTGTTTTCACAGGATCTCTTACTGAAGAGATCAAACGTTAACATTTACTTGCTTTGTCATCTAAGTTCTCGGCCATTGTTATTAAGTAGTAGTAGTTTGCATACAGAGTTAGTCGACTATTTTTTTTATAATATGTTATAGTATTTACTGTTCATATGGATTAATCTGGTAGACAAATTGGACAGGCTCAAAAAAGCTATATTTTTGCACTGGTTGTCCCTTTGAATTTCCTTACATTTTCTAGTTTTATATTTCTTGCTATTGATTGAATAAAGTATTTTGTAGCTTTGACCCTAAATTGATAAGGGTGAAAGTGTTAATTAGTTGTCAGCCAGCAGAACTAACAGACTCAGTGCCTTGTGCCATGACTAATGAAGTCTAGGGGCCTTATTTCAACATCTGAGCGAGCCTGACATTTATTTTGATGGTATCCATGGCAACATTCTAAGTGGCCCTGTTGGTCTTGGTGGGTCTCCATGGTTACCTTGTCATAAATCATTATGTGAGATTTTCCAGGAAGGATTCAAAGTAGAATTAACCTATATACATTATTAACTGGTACAATCTTTGTGTTTCTTTCTATATTTTTTGACTATGTAACAGTTCTTATAGAAGAATGTTGCAAGATACACATCCATTACATTAGATTTTACAAAATTGACAAAATTGATGATTTTTTTGGTACTTTGACAGGTTGGCACATTTAATTGCTATAGATTAGAGTATGGTTGTTAAAGGATCCAAAGGAGTACTTTTTAATGAAATCCTCTCTATTTGAGTGACATGTGAAGCTGATATGAAGAATCACACAAACATTGGTCCAACCACAAACTTTGTTATTGATTATAAGTTACCCTGTTGAGAAGTGTTTTGCAGCTGGCTGTCTTACCCCATTCTGATGCTCATCACATCTTTCTGTCTTCAATCATACTAGTGTGAAGCTAATAGAAGGCCATGATTTCTCATCATGGTCTTACCCTTATAGGCTCCCAATTTCTTGAAACCTTATGATTGTGTATTATCAATTATATGAAATTTAACCATTCTCTTGAAAGTAATGAATTACTTTTTGCATATTTGAGTCTCTCAGTATGAAAGTTCTACTTAGTAGATTGATTCTTTTTATTTGGAGGTCTTTCTAAAAACAACAAATCCAAGTTTTCATGACTGGTCCTTGGTTATAGACAAAACATGCAATGTTTTCTGAAAAATATTTATGATGAAATAAAACAGCTTTTTGCAATAAACCAATCTTCTCAATTCTTCAGCAGGATAATCAATTAGCATGGGGCTTGTATTTATCTAAGTAGCATGTTGAAATCTGTAATTGATATTTATCAGCCAAGGTTTTCATTTATGTCAGATATCACATTTTGAGGATAAATCAGCTTTTACAGAATTGCTGGATGAACTTGTGTGTTTTACATTTTGTAAACGTTTAAGTTAAATACAAAACATTTTGTTATTTTTTCTGAAATATTAAATTATAGATTTTTTTGGTATATTGCAGGTGGTGCGCAAGGAGAACCAGGGGAGCGTGGTGCACAAGGCGAACCAGGGGAGCGTGGTGCACAAGGAGAACCAGGGGGCCGTGGTGCACAAGGAGAACCAGGGGAGCGTGGTGCACAAGGAGAACCAGGGGAGCGTGGTGCGCAAGGAGAACCAGGGGAGCGTGGTGCGCAAGGAGAACCAGGGGAGCGTGGTGCACAAGGAGAACCAGGGGAGCGTGGTGCGCAAGGAGAACCAGGGGAGCGTGGTGCACAAGGAGAACAAGGGGGCCGTGGTGCGCAAGGAGAACCAGGGGAGCGTGGTGCACAAGGAGAACCAGGGGAGCGTGGTGCACAAGGAGAACCAGGGGGCCGTGGTGCACAAGGAAATCCAGGCCTTCCTCCCCTTGGTACAGCCCCACCCCCAGACTCCCCTCAAAGTAATGGACGTGGTCAAGGACAAGGTCAAACAACTCGAACTGCTTATGCCTGTGAAGGAGCTATGTTAGATGTTTCATGTATAGAGGGCTGGGTCATAAAGATCATTCGTGCCAATTATGGAAGGCTAACATCAAATATATGCAATCCTCGGAAGGTTACAGAAAATCTGAAAACTGATTGCATGTCAATCCAGTCCCTTCGGGTTGTCATGGATAGGTAAGAAATGTCCAGTTTTTTAAAATTTCGCATGTTTCTTTTCAATATTCTTGAAATCTGAAGATAAGTATCTAGTCTCTTTTGTGTTCTTGCATAACAAAAATGATCTTTAAAGTTCACCATTTAGAAATAAAGTGAATTTTGTGGTGATGGTGGCTGGCTGGAAGGGAAGCCTTTAAAATATATTTTTATCCAACTTTATGCGCTGAAGATTCTTCGTTTGTAGTGCTTATTTAAATCATGATTAATATCGGATGCTGAAACAAGTAATATTCAATGAAAAACTTTCATTTTGTATGTTACATCAAATTTTGAAGGCTTTCTTAAGGGGACATATCAATATAACAAATCCAATAAAAACTTAATAAAATAATTCCATTTTGTTTTGACCTACCCCTTCTTTCCTTACCTTACCAGTGGATGGATTTGGTTCAAATTTTAAATGCTCATGCCTAGAGATAAGGGAGCTTTGCTCAAGAGGAAATTTTCAAGATGGCTGCTATTTATCAAAACATGTTTTGTTTGGTGGGATTTGCTACTCCGTGGAGTTGCTGTTTTCTAGTTTTATTCTAATAGATAATAATTGTTGAGATTGATTTACTCCATGTGAATGATAGGAACTCATCCCCACTTCCACATATATTACGACATATTGATACTTCCCCTAATGATGCATGCTACTGTTCTTTGTAGGTGTCATATTTTTTCTAAAACAGTCTTATATTAAGCTTGTCTTTGTATATTCTGTTTGATCCTAACTTTTATAGCTATTACATATAACCATGTAACAATAATTAAAATATTTCTGTTCAATTTTAGTTTCAGTTCTTTATATTTTGATGCTATATATTCCACAGTGCATTGTAAAGTATTAATATTTTACAGTGCACAAATTGTACACTCAATGCATCATTTTATACACTTTTGGCTTTCACGGCTCAATATGCCTATCATATGCTAAATAAATAAGTTTTGTAATATTTTCTTAACCTTAATTTCTTGAAATTTCTGTTGTAAATAATTAATTAAGTACACAAAATATTCACCTCTGAAATATTGAATAAGAGCCCCACCTATGTTTTGCTTACGTCTCTAGATGTGACGGGCTAATACGCTGCGGTATTCCAGCTAGTAATGCAATATTTGGTGATCCATGTAATACAACTCGAAAATACCTTGAAGTTGAACATTATTGTCAGCCAGGTAAGGGGTGAATGCTAGCTTGGCCCTGATTGGGCGCATGAGCACTGGACTTGGGAATGCAACCTAACAACTGATGGTCAATATTCAATGTGGTTTGTGTATTTGAATATACATGTATATGTGCAGCATGCTTAGATAACATCTTGGTTTGGTGATAATTTATGAGAAAAAAATAAAACATGGCAAAATTATTGCCAATAACTTGCATGGCAAATTATTGCCAGTAACTTGCATGGCAAATTATTTGCCAATAACATGCATGGCAGCAATGTTGATGTTGCCGATAACTTCATGTCATTATCTAATATGTAACCAACAGCATTGTAACTTCTAATATGAACAAAAGGCACAATCAGGAAAAATTCAAGTTGGTGTCTATAACCATACAATTCCAAGGCCACATTATGACATTCTCATTTCAAATGAAATTATCACATAAATGAGATATTCTTGAAATGAAAATGTACATACATGTGATCTTTTCCAAGTGCGACTGGGCATCTTCTGAAATGCAGAGTTCTAAATATGATCCCCTCAGTTCCATAATCTCTTGATATTTCCCTTCAGTTCTTTCAACAATGTTTGCAAAATACTCTGGAGCCTACACAAACTAGTTCCTTTCTATGACAGACTTGCCAACACCATGGAATGGTTATGGGGCAGTTTTGATAATATCCAAAATTATTTTGGTTTTAAGTTTTGGGAATAGACTAGATGCGAGTAGAAAAAATCTTGATTTACGCCATTAAATATTCAAAATTCAGTCAAAGCGATGTTATATTTGAAATCTACATGTAAAAGTACATCTAGAAATATGTTTTCGAAAATTGTTTATCAAGTTTGAAAATTTAATTATTTTTGAAAGTGTGACTTCTAGTTCGGGTTGATTCTCCATAGAGCCCATGTTACGTAATCACAAAAAGTGGAATATCTTTTCTTGTATTGGTCAGATAACATTTTCATTTACTGGACATATTTTGATTTGCATAACTATTAGATACATAAGGGTTATATGAAAATTGAACCACTAAAACAGATGTAATTTAAGTTAAAGGGAACTTTCTACTATACCCGCCATGCTATCTGACCCGAACGAGCCACCTGGTGGTGGAACTGGTAACTATCTACTCGCATCTGCGTTATTATATCGAGCAAATAGGTTTCAGAGATTCAAATTCTTAACGTTACATATTTTCTGAGCGTTACACCAGTTTAATTTCCCAATTTACATAAATTAACTTCCTAGAAATAGAATTGGCAAGAGCCTTGTATTCAGAAGATGAACAATTTAAGTGCCACCTATAGTCATGTTTTCTCACCGGGCACTCTAACACTGCATGGTGTGACCATTGTTTGACTGTCTCGTTTATGCCACTCTTTTATGCATGCCAGGTGTAACAACAAGAGACGTTGCAAAATTCGGGCCAGCAATGATGAGTTTGGAGACAAATGCCCTAATACCCCTAAGTATCTTGAAATACAGTACAAGTGTCGCAAAGGTAGGGTATAAAACACAAATTTCCCATGTACAGGGAATGACTAGGATCACAAATGTTCCTGGTAATATGAATATTGTCAAAAACAAGAATTTGGAACCTATTATCAAAATCAAATCTTCCCATTATCATCCACATTAATTCTATTTCTATTGAATCTAATTAGTGTTCATTAAACAATTTTCCTGTTCTATTTTTAACTTACTTAAATTCTAGAGCTTATTTGAGGTCAGAGAGTGATTGGCCTTTGATGCCAATTCTCGTACTTCAATCTTGTCTCTTATGTACATCTACTCTCCTAGTCATTCCTGGTATGTGAAGTCATTAAACACCTGACTAGGCATGATGTTTTGCAATTAACCATTTGTGGTAGACTACTTATAAATAATAGATGTGTAGTGTACATGTACATGTGTAATTTACTGGGCCTGTTATTTTGAATTTTATATCCAGATCACTTATTCATGAAGCCCAACTGGTGCAATGTGATACTTAAAAAGCTAACTTTGTTTTATGAATTTATACTTTTGGGAAATGGCACTCAGAGAATACATTGCAGCATCAAAATTAGGAAACTTATTATGTCATGTATGTAGTTGGGGGACTTTTTCAATTTCATATGAAATTATTCTCATCATTTGATGTTAGACAACTAAAATGAAAGTAATGCTGGTATTCAGAAGATAGATATTTCAATCTTCTCTCTGACACTTTTCCCTTAAGGTTTCAAAACACTTGTTAAACTTTGCCGGTGGCCATTATTATGTGTCTAATAAAATCTACCAAAAATTGGAAAAGTTTCAACTTGGGTGGTGTATTAATGAATAGTTCGGTCATCTCAAGCTAAATTGTCACATTTGATGTCTTCATGAAGTGGTATTTCATTTTATCTACAATGATCATGGCATGATAGAGGAAATGCCACATTATCAAAAAACCCTGTCTGTCTCAATGAATCCACTTGGATTTCGTTTCAATAACTCCAAAATAAGTCAATTAGAGATGTTTTTGAGAAGCTCTATACATTGAAGTGGTCCCCTAGGGCAAGTTGGTTAATAATTGTATTTGGCTTTGTACTTTATGATATAAAAGCTAGATGACTCATTCTATTCATTTATACACATTCACAGTCATCCTATTGAAGTATTTTTCATCTGTTGTATATAGTTAACCTGTAGCATGCACGAACTTAACAAACTTAGTCAGTATAATAGCTCATCTTAGATTCTAATCATGATCGTGCTGATGTTTATTCCTATGTTAAAATGTGACATTTTTACTTCCTCACATTTGAAGTCTCATTTCTTCTCATGAAAGTAGAATTAGTTTAATTAACTAGAGATTGTGAGAATTTGATTTGAAATTAAGTTGTAATGTATGTCGGTTTCTATACTGTACCATGTCTGAGTAAAGAAATGTATGTTTTGTGCCAATGTTCAGGTTTGTTGTAATAAAGAGCTAATTTGATGTTTTATAGGTTGATAGTTAGCATCTGGAAACCATAGAGATATTTTTGTCAATTTTATGTTCAAATAAATTATAATAAATATTTAATTTTAGCTATGATCATTTCATTGGTATTTTCATGGCCAGTGGGAGGATGTATGATTTTGCTTGAACACAAACTTGATGCAGTACAACCTCCAGATCATGTGATCCACATCCATTTTTTGTTTATAGGTCATTGTGGCCCTACATGTTTGGGAAAGATGTTCATAACTCATGTCTTAACTTCATAAACATGAAGACAAATGAAACCAGAGTGACAGTTTATATTGTTCCTTGCAACACATCTGTCTGCAATAACATCATAATCTCTTTTGAGATATTAATTTCAGATAGCAATTTGTTAGTATTCTTATTTGTTGGAAATCTTGTATTTTTGGTTACCAGTTTTCCATACACACAGATGAAGATGAATTATATCTCAGGCAGCAGTTATTCCTCTCTTACATTAGGTATATCATTAGTATGCAATAGTGAACAACTCCTGATCTGCAAGGGAAAGGTCTGCACTCTCCACCATGAAGGTCATGTAATCAGTTTCTTGTTATTTACAGATTCAGATTCTTGTTACAGATTAACAGTTATTTGGATTCTGTTATTTTCAGTACAAAAACCGACCACTTCAACATCTACTTCAACAACTACCCAGGCAACGACCCCTTTAGCCACTACTAAAGTGGTTACCATAGATACTGTCTCAGAGTGTAAGTGGACTGATGAGTGTTGCTATAGTAACCATGAATGTTGTAATTATTAATTGCACCATCGTGTTATGATTACCTACACCCCCCCCCCAAACACAACCCTATACTAAACCATTCTATATATATTGTATATGTTTGCTTAACACACCTGTATTTTAAGCTTTATTTTTAAGATATTGTAATTGATTGTAAATTAGTTATCTTTGTTAATACATCATAAGCTGCCATTGCCATGATTTCTTGCTGTTTCTGCTTCAGAGTTCAGTTCAGAAATTCAACAATTGAATTCAGTTAAAATTGGAATATGCTTGATATTCATGTTGTATTCATCATATATTTTATGGTGTTGAGTTGAAATTAAAATAATTTTGTGTTGTGTTCAATGTTGTATGTTTCATTTTTTCTTAATTTGGAGTATATTTTAGAGGTTCAGTGTTCCACAGTTTTAACTGCCTACCACTTCTAAGGTAGAAGGACTAAGCTTACCTTAATTGGATCATTCTGTGAAGTACATGTATTTACAAACATTTCATCGATGATGAATGTGTACAATAAGGGGAAGGATTTTATTTTCGACAATAGAGCATTTTTTCTGAAATGTGATTCAAATCTGTCTAACAACCTTTGTTCACTTGATCAATCTGTAACCAAAGGTTATGTATGAATGGTCCAATTAGGGTAAATTTGTAGATGGTTCCATCCCTCAAGCTGAATTAGCAGAGATTTACATCCCGTAACCATACTCCTTTAGCAACCATTTTCCAACTCTGGATTAAAAACGATATTCTGTTGTTTTCAGCACAAGTTACAAACACTTCAATCACGGCTTCAACAAGTACCCCAGTAACTATTCCCTTGACCACTGTTGAAGTTGGTACCATAGATACCACTTTAACAAGTTCCCTAGCAACTACTCCTTCACCTACTGTTGAAGTAGTTACCGTAGATACAACCCCCTCAAGAACTACCCTAGCAACTACCCCTTTGGCCACTACTTTTGAAGTGGTTACCATAGATACCATCTCTGAGTGTAAGTGGACAAATGAGTGTTGCTATAGTAACCTTTGGTGGATGGTGCAATTTTACCCATGCCATCATATAACAATACCAAACCCAAACTGACCCTTCAAATCAGTCAGTGACAATCAGCTCAAGCTACCAAAAATGACTCTCAGTACCAACATTTAACAATATTACTGTCACTACACTATCTGATATTTTTATTGTGTTCTATTTTTGGTGTAAAATGATTCTCATGTACTATTGTCACAGACTGATCATTAACATCTGTACATTATGGATGTTAATATAATATCTGTGTTGTCCGCTTTAAATGTTGCTCATAATTATCTTAATTTTTAGTTGCTCTGGCCATGAATGCTTTTTCAGCTTTGCAGTTCAGTTCTGAAATGCATCACTGATGCCATAACAATATACATTGTACTCAATCCTGAAAAACAGTTGAGGTTAATAGAATTGAGTATGTTTGAGGGTTCAAGGTATATCTTCAAGATAATAGAGTTGATACTAAAATGTGTTGTTTTGTTTGTTCGGTGTTCATTTTTATTTTCTTCTTTATTTGGAGCAGATATTTTAGATATTAAAAGACCCATTATTGGAACAGAAGATGTTACGATATCCGCTTCACAATCTCCTTATATAGTCAACCCATTGAAACATTGTAAGTTAAGCAACCCCACCCTAACTAAGCACCCCTTCACCAGTTTACACCCCAATTTCTTCGTCTTGTTTCAAGTCCAAGTGTTTCCCTCTTGTATTCTCATCATTCAGAGAGTACAGGGGGAGGGGGGAAGGCCACAGAGATTTGATACAATACGTCCTTATATAACCCCACCTCCTTATTAGATAGTGTAAGATGTACTAGATAGTTCCTCCCCTCGTCTCTTTCATCCTCAAATTACTCTTTGTGGAGTGAACTAGCTGAATAAGCCAAGTTGTTCTCCCAGTGAACAAATAACATACATATTCTGTCTCACATAACACAATTTTATCAAACATTGACTCAGCATTTTTATTTTGAGGTTATAATGGACTCCAACTGGTCAGACAGGTTTGTGAGATATCACAATGAACTACTGCGCTCTTGCATCTATACTCTTCATTTCTGTTTTATTGTTAATATCTTATAAAGTTTCCTTTTGATTTCTGTTCTCTCTCTGTTTTTGTTATTAATATGGGTGCATATCAAGGCTTTGTTTTGTCTTATATTCCCTAAGAAAATATATTTCAAAATTGGTCTAAAAATGCATGATTTACAATTGAATAATCCATCATTTTCATGAGGCTAAACAATATGTTTCTCTTCACTTTCAAGTGTTGACTTGAAGGCTGATACCTAATATTATTACTGCTTGTGTTTTAAAACAATTGGCACTGTAGTTAGTTGTGCGTGCCCAGGGGTAGATGGACCAACTAACTGCCAACATATCAAATGTTTTGTCTTTTTTCAGGCATTGATTTATCTGATGCTTCTATTGATTTAGAACATGGACAGATAAAATGCTGTTGACATTTATCATAAAACAATATACACAGACAACTAAGAAGTTTCATGTGGTTATTTTAGCATAAATATTGGTTTGGTATCTGTTGACCATATGTGTTATTTGTCCAGGATTTTCTAACAAAAATAATTTGCATGAAACCATTCAAATGTGAGATGAATAGATTGTAATGAAAGTGCTTTATCATTGTTCATGCTTTAAAACATAATATTTAGTTAGTGTGACACTTTCATGATAACATAACTAGTTTTACTTGTATTTTTGAGGCTGATGTCAATATATTGTAAAACTTCCTTTTCTACAATGTATTGTTATGCCTCTAAAATACATGGAAATATTTTAGAAGGTCAATTTCCAATCAACTACTATACAGGAAAATATTCAGCTATTGCCCATCAAATAGGCTACTATTTTAGCAAGACAATTTTGCAGCCCCTGAATTCAAAATAAAATACACTGTATTCATAATGAATAATTTTTACTTTGATTAGCTGAGAAACCTGACCCAGAAACACCTGTAACCAGATCCCCGGGGCCAGGAATCAAAACCCCATCCCCAAGGCCATCTGTGGATCCAGTCACAGGTCCCCCAGTCTTCTGCAAGGCTGTCATCAGGCGTTACATCACTTGGCCGAAAACTAGGGCAGGGTTAGAAGTCCGAAGAGGGTGCCCTCACAATACAACACCAGGTAAGGTTGGTTAACTGACTTAAGGAAGTTAGCTGGGTCAGATTGTGAAAACTTCACCCTATATATGTGTTGGGTATGTGAAAAATTGTTAATACTTTAGCTTTGGTTATAAATCAGAATGTTATTAGGCCTATTATATGATTCAGCACAGATAAGTGTGTTGTATTTTAAGTAAATAATTACCATCTCGTAATTACTTCCTCAATAAGTACATTGCTTCATTAATCATTATTATTGTTGTTGTTATTCTTTTTCTCTGAAAGATCGGAATGTGTAAGATTATTGAGCTTAAGGTCAATATATACTGATTATATGATATATGACAACCTTTACTTCAGTATACAGTAAAACCTCTCCGAAAGCCAAGGGTGGTCCACTTACACAGGTTTCAACATACTGTAGTTGCCTAATTATTTTCAAAATATCGGTTTTACCAGTAGTTGCCTAATTATTTTCAAAATAGCTGTAAATCACAGCATAAGGCAATTATAAAAGTCAGTGTTCTGTGTGAGTGCTATTTGAATAGTCCAAAATGGCAATAATAAATGTATTTCATATATTAATGGGCTGGTTAGAGTATAAATCACAAACTAAACTTGAAATCTACAAAAAAACTGAGGACATAGAAGATCATATCATAGGAAGACATGTCCACCTGTTAAGATTCTTTCAAAGTTAAAAACCAACTTTTGACAAGTGATGTGTGGGTGATAATATAGTAAAAGGACCTTAAGTGCCTTTACCATACCTGTAAACAATACATTCTGACCTTGCTATTCTGTTTTCAGATAGATAAGTGATGTCATTCTTTTCATGCCATGTTTTAACAAGTTTATGATGTTCAAAACATTGTTTAACTTGTCAGACGGACTTCCTCATGATAAGTCTTAACTATGATGTCATTTAATTGATCTGAATATTTTGGTGAAATTAAATGTAATTTTTGTTTAAAGGTTATAACCATCTGTCATGTGAAATATCATATTGAATTGTGAAAGGTTCACCTTGTTTAACGAGCATAAAACCACATAGGAAATACCTGTGCGATATATTAATAAGCTCTCAACAAAAATTTGAACCTGTGTGAATCTTCTCAAAAACTAGTAATTCATACTGATTCACAATTTTGAATTTGAATTGTTGTTTTAATGTTTTTTCAAGCATGATAATTAGTATTGTATAGATCCAATACTTGGTTTGAACTTTGGAAAATTTTGATTGAAAATATGACGTTGTAATTCATGGTGGCTTTATATTCCCAAAAAGAGGAGACGTTCACAAAGTTGAGTAGATATATGAAGAATTACCATTCGCCACCTTGATCAAAAATCATAAAAAAAGTTTCCCAGTAAAAAAACAAGTGTGAAGTGATCATATGTTTCAATGCTATACTTAAATTGTAATTTAAGCCATTGTTGTTTCAAGTTCTAATTTTTTATAAATTTGCTTTTAGGGAGGTACACACATGTTGATTAATCAATTAACCGACTCAATGGACAATTTGTAATCTTAAATATTTCACAATCGAATCTACTTTACTTTTGTTAGCTTTTGGATTCATATAGAAAGAATGAAATTAAGTTTTCAAATATTTGCTAAATACCAAACGAAGTAAGTGTTGTGTGTTTTTTGTAGCCCCAAAACCACATAAATCAATATATTGGTCGTTATTAAGGGTGAAAGGGTCACTTTGTTCCGTTTATTCAAAATGTTGGTACTTAACTCTGAAACAAAAGTCTGGTTTTCAACTAGCCTAACATATTGATGTAAAGTAAAAGTTCAACTTTTGTCCATTTCTTTATTTATCACTTGTCATGATTTCTTTTTAATTTCTCTGTATGTTTCAAACATAAAATACTGTATGGTATATGATTTAATTTAAATGGATAGAAATTATCATGTGAAAATGTGTAGGACCATCTTTCAAAGCATGATGTTTAGTATACAATATGTCGTGATTACAAACCAATCGTTGATCTATATCACGCCATACTAAGATAATTCTTTTGGTGGAAATGCTATACAAAAGTTATCTACATAGTTCCAAGGTCATATCGACATCCTCATAAATATTAAAAAGTGAACATTTTATTGCCCCCTGAAGCACTTCTTAGTAAATAAAAGATACCACATCAGGATCTTGAATTTTAGTCATACTCTGCAGTTGTCTAGATCCCCGCTCCCTTAAAGCTATACAGTCTTTCGTATAACCCCAGAAATGCCATATTGTTGGTAAACCAGTTCTGTAATGTGCCATGTTTCTGTAGGCTATGTAGGAGACTTATGGTTTTCTGAACGACTTACACGTTCTATTATTTCACCGAGAGACTAGGGTGACCTCGATGTCTAGTTTTCTGTCAAGACGAAAATCAGTCTAATGATTGAATTTGACTTTGTTATTCTCAGGGGATTTTTGTGCTCTATGAATAAATCTAATGAATTTTGTTATTCTTCAACTGGTGTAATAATATTTGTAATATATCCTAGCTATTCTCTACAGACCAGGCATCTGTTGGTATATTTGTAATATTAAAGTTGATCTATACTGTCTACTTGTCTTGGTACATAGACTATATATTGATTTATGAGATGATTCAATCAAATGTTGTAATAACATTTATTGTCGAGAACCATACCAGTTCAGATTGGTTTCATCTGATGAATTTCATCTGCAGAATTTAATACATTCATATCCAAGAGGAAACTCTGTGTATTTATATAACCTAAAAGGTTATTTTGGAAGGATGATTTTCATTTTATCATGTCGTAATTATAATGATCAATGGATATTAAAATGATTACTGCACGATTTTCTGCCATCATTTCTCAGAAGCAAGCATTTATGTTAAACGGCAATAGTCTGCTGTAGTAATATATCATAGTAAAGATTAGACACTCCGATTAATAATTCCCATAGCTCATACTTTCGTGTTTGTATCAATTCAGAAATGATGGGATCATTTACGCTAAATCAATAGTGATTATTATTAGCTATATATTATAATAGTTCCTGGTGGGTGGCGATGGATGCAATCATCAGTTAGAGATGACTAATTCTGAACATCATAGTTCAGCTTGATAGATGGTTGTGTTCTATACATCCTACTGCCATCTTTATTTTGTGTGCAAGTCTATAAGGTTAACATTGTATTCAACAGTTCTATCTGGAAAGACATTACCTGTTAATACGAGTATGGACCGTATGTTGGTTAGTGACAATTATCAAGCTAAATGTAGTACTAAATATTTTTTTGCAATGTATCATATTAACATTGTAACAAAGAGTATCTTATCTCAATATGTGTAACTTGTATATTGAGTATTAATAGTGGTCACCTATTTATTGTAAAAAATGAATTAATTTCTATGTTTATGATTCCAGGTGCACACTTTGCAACATGGAGGTGTGGGGAGGATGGTGTGTGGAAGGAAGAGCCAGATCTCAGTGAGTGTGTGTCTCCTAAAGTGAAGGCATTGAAAAGCAGAGTAAGTATGAAACCATAATGGAATATGTTGTATACAAGTCTATATGCAAAGTTGTACCAATATGGCATTGACATTCTTCTTCTTGTGACTTGTGTGATTACACTTACAATTGGTATATTTATGTAAATAAATTGATTAAGATTTAAGTAGGGAAACAAGAATTTTCTACTCATATGCCATTTATATTCATAATTGCACATGTGATTTCTCTATCGATAGGTCAGTTTGAGTTTTGATAATGAATTAAGATGTTCTTTAGACTTCTTTTTTACTGCTGCTGACCAAACAATGTTTTTAAGTGTAAATCCTGTTTTACGTTTCTTACTGGTATATTCTTATTCCTCCAGCTGGATAATGGTGAGGACCCAGATGTGATTGCTAAAGATGTTAGTGAGATAACAGCCAGACCACTGCATGGTGGTGATCTTTCAGCCACTAGTAGAGTGATGAGTAATATCATCCTAGAGACAGAGTCAAGGGTTAAACGACTGCCAAAGGCTGAGGCAAGGACACTTGTAGAGGATGTCAACCAGGTAGGAATAGTGAAATAGACATTTGTAATAAGTTACATTAGTATTGATATGAAAGGAATATACAGGGTGGGCCAAATTTAATATTATAAGGGTAACACTTTTGGCCCACCCTCCAAATAAACCATTTCATATATTTTGAATGTCCTTTTTCAGATGTCACTTGCAAACATGTGGAAATATTTCATATAAGATTACTTGTACTGTAGGAGCGACATGTATTATCAAATTAAATACCTTGCATTATTCAAAAGGTAATAATAACAATCTATTTCATCAGGCTGTGGTGCAGTCTAGCAGCAACATTCTGGATGACTCGCAGTCTGAAGGCTGGCGCGATCTCCCACAAGCAAAACGCACACAAGTAGCAACCTCTATAGTGGTGAATATAGAAAGTAGTGCGTATCAAGTAGCAGCGACTATCACAACTCCTGGAGTCATCTCTAAGGCTGACAGGAACATCAGTAAGTCAATGAACTCTGTCTTAGAATAAATACAGTGTATACAAGACTGTTATATCTGAAACATTTAATACAATTAGGTACAAAGCAAGCCAATGTACTGGAAAGTGAATCTTGCATGTCCTGGGTTGATGCCTATATCATTTATTGCATTGGTGTTTCCAGCTAACTGCTAAATGAACAAAAATGATTGTCTTGAGAAAATTCACTTAAATATTAATAAGCATATTATTTTAAAAACTATTTGTTTGTTGTTGTAGTGGTTGAAGTAGATGTTGTGTCACGTGACCAGAAGGAGGATATACAGTTCCCACACTCCTCCCACACAGGAGGCTCAGTATGGAAGAGATCTGTTGATACCATCACACTTACAGCCAAGACTGTCATAGAGTTTAACCAGAATGGTAAGTCCTCAATGCCGGCTATATGGGTTGACCTGGGAACATATCTCTACATTCCAGTAGTGTGCAAGCTCATATAATGTATGAAAAAAGGCCAAGACAATCAATCTCTGACTTAACTCATAGTGTCAAACTTACCTTCATCGGGTGTTGTAACTTGCTATTTAAAATGAACAGCCTCAATTAAAATACATCAGAAATAATTGAAATGCTGTTGGTTTACCAATGCTTGCTTCTCTCATACATACTAAACAGCACATATATCCTTGTAGGAATGACGAAGGTTGTATTTGTGGCCTATAACAACTTGAACAACTACCTGGGCTCAGAGCAACAAAACAAGGACAATGTTTCACAAGTTGTCAACTCTAAAGTTGTCTCTGCATCCATTAATGCCAGGAAGGAAAACTTACCACTCAAGGATCCTGTTATCTTTACCTTGAAGCACAATTCAGACAATACTGTAAGTTATGAAGTTGACAATAGGATAATATTACGCATCAATCAAGTGAGAAAAACAAGGTGATCAACATAGAAAAAATACAATGGTCATCTTTCAGTTAAAAAGTGAGGTCTCTAAGCAATCTTAAATTGACTGCAGTTGACATTGGCTGAATTTTCTTTTTGATGGGTTGTATTGAAACATACTAACATTTTGTTTTCTCAAACTTGACCTTGAGTATTTTTTTTCTATGCTAAAATTGTTTCTTCTACCTGCTGAATATTTCATGTGTTACATATATATTGATTTGATTTATAGTCTGGCTTAGACTCTGGGAACCCAAGATGCTCTTACTTCGACTATGAAAGGTAAATACAGAAATGAATATATGTACATGAAATAGAATTTTGGTTAGATTTCATGTGTTGATGAGTCTGACTTGTGATCTACCTATTTAGATGAAGTAGAACCTTAATACTCTTCATTTTTCAATTTATGTTAATATCTGTAGCATAATCATTCGTATTAGAGAATAGTTTGTCATCAGATATATTCTATGTTATAGCGATTCTGTGGGCAGTTGGTCAGAGGACGGCTGCAGAGCTCTATCCACCAATAAGACACACACTGTATGCTCATGTGACCATCTTACCAACTTTGCTGTCTTAATGGATGTTGTCGGAGTCTCGGTAAGAATCAGTTCTATATGATAATTTTTTCTTAAATGTTTGGGTTCAACATGAAATATGTCAAAGTATCTCAGAATCTCAATTGGTAAATTGGTTCAGTACTACTTTGGATAAAGGTTGTAGAAATTCGATCATAGATTTTTAATCTTATAATTAGTGAAATAATCCAGTAGGATATAGGACAAGGCTTGTCAACAAAATGTGTCCTTGACTCAGAATCCAGAACTTAAAATTCAGATTTTCTTTATAATATAATTGCTGAATTCTGTTCCAGATGGCCAGGCAGCATGTGTTTTCCCTGACCTTGATTACTTATGTTGGATTGATCATCTCCTTAGTCTGTCTGCTCTTGGCCTGGCTTACATTCGTTTTCATCAAGTAAGTTAAGAGTTTTTATTTTTGGATTATATGTATTTTATTTAGAGTTTATGAAGAAATATTTATGTTTTGAGACAACTGGTAATTCTCTTTTTTGAATATAAATAACACGAGGCCTTTTAAAAGTGCTTAAGTGACCTTCTAATGGATTCCCATTACTCATGTTTTCTGCCATTGGTGATAATTGCTTCAGCTGATTGTTACAACTACTACATTCTATTTGATTATTTTCAGAAACTTGCAGTGTGATAGAAATACAATCCATAAGAACCTGGTGTTTTGTCTCTTTGTGGCCAACCTTGTCTTCATTGCAGGAATCACACAGGCTGACAAAGTGGTATGTATCTGTCATAAATATATGAGATATATTTACTAATAATTCACCAATCATAAATATTAATATTACCAAGATTTTGTGAATTTAATATGTTTTTTTTACTTATTGTAACTTGATTATGACAGATCAATTAATAAAGTTACTATACGAAATCTGTGTTATCATCTGTTAATATCTCTGTCACATCTCTAGATGTATTCATGAACTGAAAACAAACCAATATAGGATATCAAAGGTGCTCTTATTACTTTCTAAATTTTATAATTCTTTAAATGTTTCTAATTTTGCTCTCCTTTTAGAAAATCATGAATGTATTTCAGGTATTATGCGCCATCATCGCGGCAGTTCTACATTTCTTCTTCCTGGCCTCATTTGCTTGGATGTGTTTAGAAGGCATTCAGCTTTATGTGATGCTCATTGAAGTATTTGAACCTGACAAGTCTCGCAAATTGTACTATTACCTAGCTGGCTATGGTATTCCTGGATTAGTCGTTGGAATATCTGCTGCAGTTCGTCACCAGGGATATGGGACACCTGAATAGTAAGTTAAGCTTATTTAGTAGGTTAAAGGTAACATAAAATATATGACGTGGCAATGAATATTGATTTTTATATTTTTGCATTTCTTAAATGTTGCAATTGATATCTTTATTATTTTTTGGTACGGGCATTCCTAATATAAATATTGAATTCGGATAATTATTATGTGCACATAAAGTTTAATAATGCCATCATCCGCAGTTCACCTGGATTATTGATTCATACAGTATTTAGGATTGCCCCAGATTGTATGAACTCATTCATGTATATTTGTTTCAGTTGTTGGCTGAGTGTTGACAATGGCTTCATCTGGAGCTTCGTTGGGCCAATTGCAGCTGTCATCCTGGTAAGTAGAGACTGATTGCTGCTTAGAGGCCAGAGCAAGTTTTCATTTACCTATATGACTATTGCAATGTTACATATACAGTCTATATAATTAAAGACACAGCATATTACTAATCCACTCCACTATTGGTACAGCCCAGTGCATTAATGTCTTATATTGAGGATATAAAAATAGGATGAAAATTGAAATAGGCAAGGAGACAATATGATAAGCTACCGTTACACTTCAGTTTCAGTTCAAAAAATCTGAGTTAATATTTCCTGTAACATTTTGATTTGGCATTTGCCTGACCTGCTTCACGCCAAGCTTCACTCATGTCAGGACATTTACATGGAAATTAACACAGTTATTAAAGAGTACAGGTATATGATGTATGTTTCAGGTGAACATTGTGATGTTGAGTATTGCCATATATATGATGTGCAAACATGCCAATACAGCATCACAGATCAAAACACAGGAGAAGTCACGCATGGAACAAGCAAGGTCAGTTATTTTATTGAATTAACTCCGATATCAATTTTTATATAATTAAAAATGCATCATACAGCCTAGTCAAATAAACAAAAATCATGTTGAATAGTCTTAAAAAGTATAAACTTACATGGAAACACATTCATCAGATAGTTATGCTAAACATAATTATTAAGTCTTGAGTTGATGTTACTGTGTGATGCTTTATGCAGCCGGAAGCCAGGAGAAAGAGCGGGTAACCATGGTAATGTTGCGAGACAGACAAGTATGTCTCCACAAGAGACCATGTAAGCCACTAGTATAGTCTCTGTGTTGTTCTTGTTAACCTTTCCTCAGTCTTATTTATGTGATAGATTCATATTAAGAAAAGAAGAAGTAAGGCAGATGTGGGCAATAAAATATTACAAATTTTATTGAATTACGTAATGTTACATAATAGTTACAATAAAATAATTTTTGGTTGGGGCAAAAATGCCCGCACATATATGTACATGTGTATAACAATACATGATAATGAGACAAGGGTGGTGGCTGGGGAAAATGGGGGGAAAAGATTTTTACTATAATATAAATCTATATATATATATATATATAATGACTATGAAAATCAGTTAAAATCTATTTTATAAATGTATCGATATCTAGGCTCTAGGCTGTAAGTTGAAATATCTGTGAATGAGACTAGGTAGTCTGTGAAAACAGAAACCCTAGAGCCTGGAAGATTCTGATTGGTTACTGATGTTAGAAGTTTAAAAGGTTAAATATTGCATCACCACACAAATATCCTAATGAAGCATTAGGGTCATTTATGTGATAGATTCATATTAAGAAAAGACAAATTTTATTGAATTACGTAATGTTACATAATAGTTACAATAAAATAATTTTTGGTTGGGGCAAAAATGCCCACGGAATGCTATATAAAGATAGCATGAACGCCCCAACCCAAGGCCTTAAGCACCACCCCCTCTCAAAATCAGAAGGACAAATACCATTATCAGTGTGACTTATCTTAAAGTAATTACTTTAATGATGTCCATTAATTCCTGGTGTGCCTGTTACATGAACAGAGCACTTAAAGATGATTGAGCGTAGCATCCCAATGATATGCTACTGTGATCAAGAGATAGTCAAGTGGAATGCCATTACTTGTAATTAACCATGGAGGTCGTGAGAAATTAAAGATAGCAGATAAGACACACTGAGGGCAATAAATTGAATTAATGAAATCTCTAATGTTACCCTACTTACACCATAGGCTTAAAATTGTAGTACTTGCTGGCATTGTTGTATGAATGATGATTACCTTAATAATAGTTTAATAACAAGATTGGTAGATAATCATAAATGGTAACAGCTTTGCCAGTTTCATCTTGTAAAGCAGGGTGATCTATAGACTATCACAAATGATAAATCCATCTAAAAAATTTAATGTTCATTGAAGTGCTTTGCTATATACATGTATGATATATACAGTACACAAGTTTAAAAATGTAATGATAACATGCATGAGTAGTATATAATATGAGGATAGGTACAAATACCCAATCCTCCAAATGTTATGTAATACTGAGTATATACTACTGATCTAGGTTAGAGCTATCAAGTGGCACCACCGTCTGAGTTATATATTGAATTTTTGAATTCTAATGTATTTTTTCACAGCACTTGATTTCCATCGACCCATTTGTGTAACAATATCTTGGCTCACACCTTCTGATATAAGTTGTGTAGCATGACCAATGCGTAAACTGTGCGAATTATATTTTTTAGGATCAATACTAGCAGCTTCAAGTGAACTCTTTAAGTATTTTACAAATAAAGACCTACAAATAGGTACTTTATGTTCGTCCAAGAATAACGGGCCTTGCTGGCCCCCCCTAAGCTTAAGATAATGTACCATGGCTGAGTATGGGCAATATTTTGATCCCCTTATGGGTGATATCAATATGTTGAAGGGCTGGGTTGGATTGTTATGCTTGCAGTTGGACATTTTGATACAAACACCTGCATTTGAGATGGATATATCGGAAAATTGTATTGTATTTATGTTATCTTTGTGCCATGTGACTTCCCCAACTCTTAGAAAAGCACCATATGTGAAGAGAAAGAGAGCAGTGGTCATAATTGCTATATAGTTGTTAGCATAAATCACCGGTATAATGTCAATAAGTTTTTTAAGAATGTTCAAAGTAATTGGAAGCCTACCATCATTAGAAGGCCCTCCCATTAACTGTGCTCCCTTCTGGAGCTTTCTAATGATGAAACAGTCTGCTGGGTCTGGGACATCGCATATCTTATGTAAGAAAGATAAACCTGAGACATATGTGTTGATGGATGAGCCAGAGTAGTTCAGGAGAGATAGATAGGCAATGAACTGTGATAGCTGTTGGGTCGAAATGGGGAACTGAACACCCTTTACTGTGCTGTTACTGTGGGAACAGAACTTCTTATATAATGTCCAAGCTCTGAGATAGTTTTCTTTTGACTTTGTGGTGAGACTTTTAGACATCAGTTGTGTAATTCTTGCAGTAATGTCAGATTTGGAGAAATCTTGGTGGGCGAACTTTCGAGCCAGGGTGCCAATGCTTTGGCTTTTTTTACCTGCAAGCGTGATAATTGATCAGAGATAATGTTATGTTTACCACAAATATGCTTAGCTTTGAAAAGTATGTTATGTTTTAAACAAGACAGGACAAGTTGTCTCAGTATTTTGAGAGATGTTGTATTCCTTGTTGTGGCTGTGTTAATGATGTCTACTACACCCTGGTTATCACAGTGAAATATGATCTTGTGGTTTGCAAGGGCAGATCCCCATGTGTGTATAGCAACATAAATGGGAAAAAGTTCTTTTGAAGATATGTCCCAGTGTCTTGACTGTTCATCCCATGGAATGATGAAGTACTTTGAACCTAGGACACCTGCACAAGCGTGAGAACCACTAGCATCCGAGTAGAAATTGATTTTTTCTGAGTTGACCCATTCCTGGTGTAAGAACATGGAAATACCATTGTGATTTTTCAAGAACAATTTCCAGATCATAAGATCTTCTTTGACCTCATCAGGAATATTTATGACAAAATTGGAATTTTTTGATCTGATCAACCCTTTTGTGAGATTGTACATTTTACGGATAAATGTTCGACCAGGGGCAATAACTTTGCAGGAAAAGTTCAATAGACCTAGCAATGACTCCAGTTCTTTAAGGGTTATTGTTGTTGCATCATAGTACTTGTCAATTTTGATTTTGAGTAATTTTAACTTTTCCTGTGGCAGTCTTGCTTCCATTTTGATTGTGTCCAATTCTATACCATACACAATTTGACATGTTTTTGGCTTGCATGTTTTTGAGTCTTTGATTGGAAGACCAATATTTTTTGCTACTTTGAGAAAAGTTTCGAGATTTTTGTTGCAGGTTCCATATGTCTTGCCAATGAAAACGAAATCATCGAGATAGTGAGAGGTGTCTTGTATTCCAAAGGAAATGTTCAATATTTTCTCGAGATTGGAGCTAAATCTCTCAAAAATTTGGCTGGAAGAAGCGCAACCTTGTGGCAAAACTGTATCATAATAATACATATCATTCCATGAAAAACCTAACAGGTGATGGTCCTCTTTACAAATAGGAATAATTCGGTAAGCATTTTCGACGTCAGATTTTGAAATAAAAGAACCCCTCCCATTTTTTTGGATTAAATGGATAACTTTGTCTATGGAGTCATAGTGAACTGTTGAAGCATGTTCGGAGATACCGGCATTCACTGAGTTGGACTGCCTACTGGGGAAACTTAGGTCATGTATTACTCTGAATTTACCATGTTCTTTCTTTGGAATCAGGCCAAGAGGTGAAGATCTAAAATTTTTCAAGGGAGGATTTGAGAATGGTCCAATAATTCTATTAGCGCTTAATTCTTTGTCTAGATATGCTTCAATGACCTTTGGGGACTTGTTAACTGAATTATGGTTGTATGTGATTGAGGATTCTATATTCCTGGGGCCCTCATATTGTAATTGGAAACCGACTGTAAAACCATTTTTCAGAAAATTGTGTTCAGATTCATTTAGGCATTGCATAATTGCTCCTAAGGGTCTCACATTAATCGGTGTTATGATTTTGTGTGTCTGTGCACTTGAAAGCAGACATTGGGGATGTGTGTGTTTCTCTTTTGCATTTAAAGCATAGATGTTTGAATTTGCAGGAGGAGTTTTTTGTACATTTTCCAAATTTTTGGAATGAGAAACAGTATCCCTTTGGGATGGTGGATTGTTTGTTACCGGAGTATTTTTTGTCTGGTTTTTGGTTGACTGGCTTTTGGGTTTCAAGAAAGGGCTGCCCTAGGCGTAGTGAAGCTTTTGAGAAAAGTTCAGTGTTGAAGTGGTCCCATTGAAAATTCATTTGCTTCTTGTTGAGTCTAAAGTTTTCATCATAGAGCTTAGCTGTTTGAAAGTTTCCGTATTGGGCCATTTCTCTAATATCTTCACCATATTTCAATAGCTTGGTGACCTCATTTTTGTGTGCTTGGCAATAAATTGATGTGTAAATGTGAAAAGCAGTTGTCCAATTGTTTATGTTGTATATCAGGTTCTTTACCTTTGGGGGGTTAACAAGATCGCTTATAGCTTGACTTAGGGGGTTAACTAGTTTTGGTCTTAAATCTTGAGTGGCTGTTAATAGTTGGTTGAAATCTACATAGGCGTTTGAGACAATTTGTTTTTTAATTTTTTCTTCAATTCTGGATGTTAGGGGAATTCCTGCCCCTGTTAATGGAATAATATTTGGTGGTGCCAAATGATAGGACTCACCCGCACTGGCCTCTTCTGTGGGAGCCTTCAGGAAGTTCTCTATAATCTCTCCCATGTTTGAATCTGGCGGAGAAGCTGAAGTTGAAGGCGACGGTTCCTGCTCTTGCCTGAGCTTTTTGAACAAAGACTCCACAATTGCATCCCTGTCAGCTTCACTCAGACTTCCTGATTGTTTTCTCTTTTCCCCCCTATTTTGAGTGGCAGGTTCAGAGGCTGTATCCCCTTGCACTATGGTTGACCTATTTGCACTTCTTAGTTTTGGCATTGTGGTTTACCTGGAATACAGAGGGCAGCCAGAGAATTTTTTGGAAACATTGTGTTCTTACAAAAATAAGGTTATGAGGAAATGATTAAATTGCGTCTCATAATGAGAGACTAATATATAACACATATAAAAAACAACATGAGTACTGCATCTCATAATGAGACGACTCATATATAACACATATAAAACAACATGAGTACTGCATCTCATAATGAGACGACTCATATATAACACATATAAAACAACATGAGTACTGCATCTCATAATGAGACGACTCATATATAACACATATACAAACAGCATGAGTACTGCATCTCGTAATGAGACGACTCATACATAACACATATAAAACAACATGAGTACTGCATCTCATAATGAGACGACTCATATATAACACATACGAAAACAGCATGAGTACTGCATCTCGTAATGAGACGACTCATACATAACACGTATAAAAACAACATGAGTACTGCATCTCATAATGAGACGACTCATATATAACACATATAAAAACAACATGAGTACTGCATCTCATAATGAGACGACTCATATGTAACACATATAAAAAAACAGCATGAGTACTGCATCTCGTAATGAGACGACTCATACATAATACATATAAAACAATATGAGTACTGCATCTCATAATGAGACGACTCATATATAACACATATAAAAACATGAGAACTGCATCTCAAATGAGACAACTCATATATAACACATATAAAACATGAGTACTGCATCTCAAATGAGATCGTTCATACCAGAACAACTAAATGTTTACAACTTAAGATATTACTCTGCTGGGAATGATGGTGGTGATAAGGACTTACCAATATGGATATCCCTAGTAAGGATGAGTGATCTTTTTAGATTATCATGAAATCTTTGGAGGCCTATGTCATTTAGATGAATTCCATCCCAGATAGTTTGATTCTTAAGTCCGTGAAGGTTTAAACCTTTGTTTGGAAAAATCATTATTTGTTCCCTTGCTAGATGAAAATTACACTTTTTGGCAGGCTTTCCTAATAAATGCCATATATATTCATTCACTTTATCCACTTTTTTGTTATAATCACTTGTACTTGGATGTATTCGGTGGAATAATAGCCCAATGCTGACGCATTTTACAAATTCATGTTGCAACAGATAGTTGCCAACTGATATAATGGCATTGGCAATCCTCTCCGGGTCTGAACCAGGGATGTCAATATCATTCTCTCCCATCTGGAGATAAATCAGCTCTGGTGCAAGTGTTGATATTTGTTTATACAAATGTGGAAGGAGGTGTTTTTTCTTGTTTTGAGATGATGATGTTAGAAGAACCCCTCCCCGTATACCTTGACACTCGATTTCAAATTCTGATGCGTTTAATTTAAAGTTAGGTGAGCTTTTTTCAGTGAAGTTCCTCAGCCAATATATGAATGATTGTCCGAATATGAGAGTCTTTACCGCTGCCATACTAATCCCAGCAGAGTACAAATAGGTTAGGTGTAATGTACACTTACCAAGTTTGCTGATAAAACTGATTTCCTAAGTACTCGTAATATCCAATTGTAAGGCTTGATGACCTGTGTTTGAGTCAATTCTCCTTTTTATGAATTTAAAAAACTACTACAAAAGATTTTTACTATAATATAAATCTATATATATATATATATATAATGACTATGAAAATCAGTTAAAATCTATTTTATAAATGTATCGATATCTAGGCTCTAGGCTGTAAGTTGAAATATCTGTGAATGAGACTAGGTAGTCTGTGAAAACAGAAACCCTAGAGCCTGGAAGATTCTGATTGGTTACTGATGTTAGAAGTTTAAAAGGTTAAATATTGCATCACCACACAAATATCCTAATGAAGCATTAGGGTCATCTATGTATATCACTCTAATCTACATATAGATGTCAGTCTAATCCATATATATATAGAAGTGGCATTTTGGATCTTACTCTATGTATATATGATATTATATACTTCTGATTTCTCCATGCCAAATATTTTGTAAGGTTGATTAAAGGTGCACCATGCACCAGATTAGGGATCATCTCAAGATGTTTCTTTAACAGTCACCATTTCCAACATGTGTATGTATGTATATCTGGGATCTTGAGGTGGTCCCTCACTGAAACAAGACATTAGGCATGATCTTCACTTGAATGCTACTAAGGACTATATCCTCATATTCAAGTAGAAATTGTTTTGACTGAAACTTATTTTCAAACTTTTCTATATCTAGCAACTTGAGATATGAACTTATACAAATGACTAGTCAAGTTTCAAAAAGATATATACCAAGAATTCAACATATAGGATGTCTTTGGAAAACTTATATTATTTGTGGATAGTACATTTGTATACTGTATATGTAAGGACTTTTGAAATTAATCATAAGGCATAATATTTCTATTGTTACTATTCCTGCATCTGCAGAGATAATTCTAAAGCCCCTGGGACACAAAATGAAATCCCCAAACCACCATCTCGAACTGAGGAAATCACGTAAGGCCATATTTGGTCATTATGTCCATATTTGGTTTTGGTTATATGTAATTTGTTGGTGCAGTACCCTGTTCACTACATTGTTATTTCACCGCTTTTGATTAATATTTGTCTTGAAGTTGATATTTATTATTTGACTTCATACGTGAAATTTGGCAGTGTTTGTCTGTTTATATTTATGTTCAATATTGTGGTCTGTATTGTATATACCTGTACATGCTTTTCTGGTATTACCTTATATCCCATTAGAAACACAGAAATGCAATTGAAAAGCTTTGATGTGTCACCTTATACGTATAACTGTGTGTATCCACTTTATATTAGTTCTACTTCATTCAATGTTTGCATGCATTGACAAACTATTCAACAATTAATAGATTCAATCTGATTCTTTTGGTAATTACATACTGTTCTGTATGTTAGCATGAGATAATGTGTATTTTTGTTTTTGTTTTATTTCTGGACCGAGGAAGCAGTTCTCTGTTTGTTATTGTTTTGTAATACATGTGGAGTATGTACACCAAATCATTTACAGTAAATTGTTGTTTCAATAAGAATTTTTGAGTTGGTTAAGGTTAGATTAGATTTTTCCTTTTTCCTTCTGAATCTTTTCTATATATATAGTAGTCTACTATCTTTCTTGTGTGGGAAGCATGACCTGTTAGAGGATTGATATTAAATAATTGATCAGTACTTTTCATTACTTTGATAGAATACAGTTTATTTGTAATTGTGTGTATAGTTTGAAAACTAAACTCATGCACAAATTTTGGCATTTTGTCGAGTGAAAAATATGAGATGTGTGCAGTCTCTTATATTTATTTTTATAACACCCAGACTTGACTAATCAATCAATGTTATATTTCAGATCATGGATTAAGGGAGCCGTTGTGTTGATCGTGTTGTTAGGCCTGACATGGTCCTTTGGTTTCCTGTATGTGAGCCAGCATACCATTGCCATTGCTTACATCTTCACCATTCTGAACACTCTCCAGGGCATGTTCATTTTCATATTCCACTGTATTATGAATGAAAAGGTAAGGATTGATGACACTTATCTAATCAATTTAATTTTCTTATTGAGAACTTATTACTTTTAAATGTAGATACATATATAATCTGATTAGTAAAGATATAACTATCACCTCTTATGACATCAATTATATTGTGCCAACTATAAGGGAAGAATAATACTAATGAAAGTATGGGATTGTTGTTCATAAACAATCAATCAAAAATGTGAATGAACAAATATATCTCAGATAACCATATAGGGATGCAATCGCCGTTACCATGGTTTATATTTAACAATGAGTTTTTTAATTTGGCAATTAGGTCCAGAAGGAGTATAAGAAGGTTGTTAGGAGAACAGAATGGCTGCCTGATTGTATCCGGGTCAAGTATGGAGAACACAAGGGCCTCTCATCTACACCTCCCCAGTCTACTTCTTCAAACAATGTAAGTGCTACATGAATCTTGTCATGGATTTGGGCATGCTGGGTAAATTACTTGGTGGCCATTTTGAATTTTTGATAAAAGTTTCTTGTTTCTATTCAGAATCTTTTCATGATGTTGTGGATTATTCAAGCTATAGGTCACCTGAGCTATCTGTAGAGTTGATACAGAATATCATGTGATGTCATTTCCCTTTCAGTTGTTTAATAAAATGCTGAGTGCAAGACGTAGGAAGAAGTCGTCAACTAGTACCCTGCCAAAAAGCTCTGGACCCATAGCATCAAAATGTAAGTGTTTATCGGTTCTTCTAGATATGTTCACATATTGCTGTTTGTCCTGGCTAAATGTATCATTGAATCATTTAGTTATTTAAAGTAGACTTGATATTTCCGAATGGGAACATCAGATCATAAATTTTAGTCATTTGTTTTCATGCGCATCTTTAAAATGGAGGGAAATGCATAGCTTTATATTTCTATTTTGTGGTCGTTTAGCAATGGTAAGGTAAAGTCATCATTTTAAAAAATTGAAACAAATCTTATAAATAACTGCACATTTGCAATGATATCATGAGGATATTTTATGGCAACAAGCACATTATGGTAGATGACATGTAAAGAGTGCTTATGAGAAAACTCATCAAAAGATTGTACAAGGTTGTTTTCTTGATATTTGTATTTTATTTACATATGTTTCCCTTCAGCGATATTTTATCTTAATCTGCGTGAGTGTGAGTACGTATTTGCATGCAGGGTTAGAGTTCAATTAATGGTGCCGTTTAAGTGTTTTATTGTTAAACTTTCCTTACTATTAATGCCTTGAAGACGAATTTGCATTTGTCATTACATTTAAATGGATTCCTGTTAACTAATATCAGCTGCCATGGAGAATGAGTTCAGGTTTGAAATTCATTAACAAATGCATTTGATTGATGTATACTTGATGTATATGCTGCGCTGAAATGGAATTTGCGTCAAAATATGTTTTGGCATCACTCAATAAATATCACTGGCTTGAGCTACAACTTTCTGCCACGTAATATGATAACAAGAATGCTATGACCTTGATGAATGTACATGTATTTATGAATATGAAATCAAAGATATCGGTTGTGTGGGTAGGTTTCTTTGAGTTTGCAAATACTTGTATCTCTGGCAATTCCTGTGTGTGATCCAAACATGGCTTTGGTATAAATGTAATTTTGATGGATTTTTCTATTTAATATTTTTGCCTCTATCACAGTAAAGCATCTCTATGTTGTCTAAATGTTCACTTAGGGTTCAGGGGTTTCACATTTATTATTTTTAAAATATTTTTTTGTGTTGTTGCCTAATATAGGGATGTCACAATATGGTTGTAAAATAAATACTTGAACATATGGAAAATTTTGAAAATTGTACAATAATTATGAATTTGAATACTTTTTACTTAAAATATATTTTTCTGGTTTCAGGGCATTATCAGAATATGAAACCGAATATTGAGAACCAGTCAAATGGCGTCGAGTCAGTCTTTGCCGACTCTGGCCAGGGGTCAAGTGCAGGTCCTCTCCCTGAAAAACATGACGTAGAATCCCCTCCCCCACAGATCATAGTGGATGATGGAATTGATGCTGATTTATCAATGATTGATGCATCTATAGTTGACAGTGAATTTGTCAGCGAATATTGCAATGCCAATTTGGCAGTCACCAATGAGAAGCCACCAAAAAGTAAACCTGCCGATAAATCAAAAATAAGGTTGTCAGCTATCTCAGATAAGATTGATTTCGAATCAGAGTTCAGTGATGCTGAGCTGTTTAAAATGACAGATCGCAAAACGAGAGATATCGAAGAAGAAGAAGAAAAGAAGCCTCTGACTTCCAGAACTGAATCGGAGGAAAACCTTATGAACAAATTATTAGAAGAAACAGCTCCTAAACGTCAATCTCTACATAAAACAATTAGTGATTGTGGTAATATCCAAGGGGGGACACACCCCTGCCCCCCTGGGGAAGACCTAGGGGATAGTAACACAGATTTGTGTAGAAGCACTCCCAATATGAAATTCAACCCTAAAGCTGTTGGGGCACAAAGACATCTAAATGACTCCAAGTGCCAGGCCAGTCTGCCAAATATTAATCTCGCTTATGAGGCCTCGGATAATTCCGATGAAGACAGCCTTAAACGTCTAGTGTCTAAAATCACCCAGTATGCTAATGATGATGGCCTGATTACGCATTTTCACGGCAAGGCAGTGAACAGAAATAGCAATGATTCCAGTAAATGGTACAATAACAATTCACCGTCATTCAGGCCAACATCTTCTGACTGTTAATGATGAGGTGTGACAAAATATTGACCAAATATTCAAAATATTCCAACGTAATAAGGTGCAGAAATGTATTTTATAGTGTAAGGTTATAGTGAGTTTTAAGTGTCTTGATTATGCATGGCTATGGCTGATGGACTTAGTCTCTCTTTTTCCACTTTGCCAATTTTTGTTTTATAAACAACACCGAATAATTTATGATGACAAGCTGCAAGATTATTTTCAATTTTAGCTTATCGAATGTAAGTCTATTGGCCTAACTTAATATTTTGCCAAATGGAGTAGTTAATTTGGACCCAGTTAAGATTTTCTTAATTATAATAATGTAAAATGTCCTGAAATAGAAAATGTATTTATATTTGGTGAAAAAAAAATTGAAAAAATAAGAATTTTGAGGAAATATGCAAAACTGATCAAATGCTGAAACAAGGCAGGCCTTTTTAGACGCATGTGGATTATGTTCTGTGTTTTGCCTGCTGTACAATACAGTGTAGTTTAGTATATTTATATACATGTATGATATTACTATATATGTCACATATATCTGTATACATGCACTTTGTATTTTAATACTACCAAATTGAAACTGAAACAATCCATTTGATATAATTGGTGCAGATGTTAAAGGATCATGGGATATGGTTTGTACATCATTTAATTATGTCATGATTTTGACACATAAGTGGTATCATAAGAGTAGTCTTTATACAGCTGATAAATTTTTGAGCAAAAAGCAAATGCAAAAGATTTGTAAATGGGAGAAAATTTACTGTCACTCCATGAAATTTTTGAGTTGACCACTGACTTGAAGTGACATGCAGAGTTTTTGAAGCCTAAAATTATATAAAGTTTGTTCTTAGATAACATATCTTGTTAATAAGACTAAAATTACCTATAAAATACACCGCACGATGAATAAAGGTTGTGACTCAATCATAGAATGTGCTTGATATAATAATATTATGCAGACTAGATTATATATAGATAAATGTACATGTATTAGCACCGGATATCTATAATGGCATTAAAACAGCACTGAGATCTATCTTATATTGAACAATTTTGTTATACAAATGCTTTTAAACAGCAAACATTTTCATTCTAAATATTTGTAAATGTCATCATTTTTGTGTTTTGCTCGTTTCTGTAGGCATGTGTTAAATCTTTTATTTTGTTTATATGTACAATTGTACTACAGCTGATCCCTTTAAATAAATTGTTTTGATGCAAATATTTTAGAAGAAACTGTTTTGATGCTCTAGAAATGCTGTTCATGTGAAAATGTATTCAACAGTGATTGAATATTTAGTGTATGAAATGTTGCCGATTCAAGTGCCATATTTAGAAACTTTTATTTGCTTTTGCTGTACCTTGAAAAGTATTATATTAGTGACATTTGATTACATATTTGTAGATTTTAGTAAATCAGAGGACGCTGTCAAAGCCATATACATGATGAATACATGTATTTCAATCAGGTATCTCTATAGGTGCTTTTTGTAAAGAATATAGAAATAATGTTTCTTAGTACTTGGAATCAGCTCACAGCATGATATGCTAGGACTCACTATACATGAATTGAATTCAGAAGTGTGACGCATGATTTGCATAAAATGTGACACAAACCCGCTTATGCTGTGACACATTCTGTGATTTATAAATATTATATGTATATATATGTGGATTGTACATTTTGTTCTAATGAATATTATATTAAGACATTGATGGGTCTCAGAGGCCTTCATTTTGAATATTTTTTATTTTGTAAACTTTATGTGCAAATAAAACTATGAATAAATTGTATTGACTAGCTCATGTTTTTTTTAAATGTGTTGAGAAAATTAGAGTTTAATCAAAGCCATGTGATTAGCTACATAGTCAAGTGTAAAAATAATTGAAATCAGATTTATACGATCTTTGAGAAAAGCCCTCCCGGAGTCTATTTCTCCAATTTTGGCGAATTTCTTCCTATTTGTTGATTAATCCATTATAAATAATTCTTTGATTTGAATGTCCAGCTTAACTTCTGCAAGGGAGAATTTTCACATACAGTGAAAGAAGATGTTGTTCTGATAAAATGAAGTACTATTTACACACAAGGATGTTCAATCAAATAAAACATTAAACATAAAGCATTGTTTAAATCTGCATGTTTCCAATTTTATTTTTAAAATTTCAAAGTTCTTAATTCTTATCCTAAACTGCCTTTCTTAATTTTGATATCATTATCATTTTAACAGATTTCTGATTCTTTCAGTCTTCCTTTTCATCCAGTCCAACCAACATTTTAAATTTCTATTTTTGATGGTCATAGTTTTTTCAATGTTTCATCACAAGTTACACTTTACATATACTTTTACATTTAAGTCTATGGACTATAATTTTTACAGTTTCATACAATTTTATAATAAATTAAATAATTTACAGGTCTTTATATATTCACAATGAAAAAGCTAACAAAATATACAAACCAAGTTGAATTGAAATCAAATTCATTTAGCACCGTTGTGCAACTTTATATTTCTAAATATACAAATGCGTGCTTAAAAACTACAGGGGGTCAAAATAAAATGCAATTTGACCCGCCATATAAACTCTGAGAAATAAAAAACAAAAACCACTCATCACTGTACTGTACCAGCAGTGCTCAGTGGTGTATCAAAAGTGACAGAAATGAATTGTATTGGCTACAGCGTGTAGTTCAAGATACAAAAGTACCTCTTACAAAGTACTTCTTAACACTTTGGTTTAGCCTGTGCATCTTGATATATTCTACATTAGGACAATCTTTAAATTATGAACAATAATGTGAAATATCCTACATCACCAAGAAGCCTTTTGTCAATAAAGAGAAAATACTTTACCATTCAATGTCCAAAGTGTGACGAAAAGTACGAATATACCATAGCAGCATATACTGTACAAGTAATTTAATGCACTACCTACTTTATATCAGTAAAAATATACGACATAGTCATATACCATATAGGACATAGTCATATACCATGTATGACATAGTCATATACCATACAGGTACAACAGTAGACTCAAATAAGCGCAGTAATCCTCAAGTATTCATTCTTTAATCTACATGTCACATTAACTATCACCTCTATCTAATCAACCTAGAACTGTTCTCTGTCTCGAAACGAAAACTTATTTGACCTTCTCATTTGAAGGAATCGAAAGAGACAAAAGGCTTCAAGGTTAAAAGGAAATTTGACATGACTTAATTAAGTACAGAAGTATATCATATTTTCCAAATAATTTAAACCTCAAAATCAAATCACAAATTGCATAAAATTATAGTATGTTTTAATAAAATATGAATTATGGCATATTCATATACACATATTGTTTATAATGGTATATATACAATAATACATTTGTAGACTATTGAAAGTAAGTCGCATTTCAATGTTCCCAAAACTGCGTATCTTTGTGCATTGTCTTTTTTGAGATTCACATTTTCTCAACATCATGATTATTATTTCACTCAAAATATGAAGACATTATAACCTTCTCTTTCAACTTGATTCACATCAATTTCATTTGTCAAGTGAAATATTTATATTTATCGAGTATCTAAGTGTCATGTTCTATCTATGTACCTGATTGGTACAATACTGTCCTAAACTACTCATATTGTACTGAATACAACTTATATTGTACTGAATAGCACTTTTATTGTACTAAATACAACTTATAATATTGTACTATATAGCACTAGTATTGTTCTAAATAGCACTAATATGTGCTAAATAGCACTAATATTGCACATATACCCTATGATGCAAATTGTGATACCACAAATCTCAGCCTATCACATACATAAAAATCTCACCAGAATACGAACAGAAATCTCCCCTGTGTATATGAGGTATGTTACCAGAAAGATCTGCAAAGACAAGATTTCCTAAATCTATTGATCTCTTGCTATGATGTCATGATTCCCATGGTTACACAATGGATCTTGAAATTAGCATAGCAAAGAGAATGTTCTGATAACGGACCCCAGATTATTCTACAACAACAGGTGTCTAAATTTGGATATCACATAAAATCTGATGAGATGGTCATGTATGGGAGACTCTAAATAATTTACTGCACAAATCTCTAGTTACAGTTTCCTGTAAGCAATTAGCAACTAAGTTATTATTTACACACGTTATCATTATGCATTTAATAACACATTATATAAACAATATATATATGCACACTTTTATTTTGGACTGATATCTTTTGTAATAAGGAGGATGCTTTAGAAAATCAGAAAACTGGATAAATTGATTAATAGTTGAAGTGACAGTTAATACAACTTCCAGTATTATCATTCGAGTGGACATTATGGGAGAAGTCCTCCCTTTATGGTTTGGTAATGGGAGAAGCCCTGCACTTTATGGTTTGGCATTATGGGAGAGGTCCTCCCTTTTATAGGTTGCTATGGGAGAAGCCCTGCACTTTATGGTTTGGCATTATGGGAGAGGTCCTCCCTTTTATAGGTTGCTATGGGAGAAGTCCTGCCCTCTATAGGTTGGCATTATAAGAGAATCCTTTCTCTTTGTGCATTGGCATTATGATAAAAGTCTTCCTCTGACATGGATTGTATCTAATTCCCTAAAGCATATCATCCCTTAGTCTAATACATAATTGTTAAAGCTCAAGAATCAACCACTTTCTCACTATCTTTACATAATATACATATATGAAGAGAGTCTCCTTTGCAATAATGATGTGCGTCTTCCTAGATATACAAAGTATACATGATGTACTGTATAAGTCATGGAATAGGTTGGATTGTATGTAATATACTGTAATATATAGGCATGGTATATATCATTGAAATAAACTGCAAAATGACTTCATTCTGACATTTGTCCTTGGAAAGTCCCAAGTGTGTACCTTATTGGAAGTTCAAATCATACAAAATATTACATCTGCTATTATTCAAAGACTTTGGAATCATATCTACCACGTCCACCTGTCATATCATTACATTATAAAATGAAATAATATCCCTAGATGCCACTGCATTCAAAACATGTGACATGATGAACATTAGATTGAAATTATGATTAGTACCAACAGTACTGCATATTAAACCACAGCACACTGTACCAGATATCAGATACCAAGGATGACCATATTAGGTAAGTTTCTTGCTCTAAGGTGTCTAAATGGTACCTTGCGATCTGTTAAAATGAGATATACCGAAGCTAGAATATCACTTTTTATTTGACTTAACCATGTCTGTAACATGTTTATATATAGAGTAGCAAGAAAATAGACATCCATATACTGCATGTATCTACTCTACATTACGATATCAGGTATTATCATTTCACTAGTTCTATAGTACACTAAATGTATTATACATACAAGTACATCTAGTCGTGTAACTGGTGATTTCATATTATGCCATTCTGTTAGAATTCATGACATCTTTGATTAGTCATCATAAAAAATGTTCAAACTTGTTCCAACATTAAAAATATTTAACATTATTCTGATGTCTAAATTGTTGCTTTTTAAGCTATTTCAAAAAGATTGTCTCCAATATGGTAATATTGAACAATGCCATGAAATGTGTCTTGCATCAACAAATATGGAACTGCGTATAACCTTTGAGGCAGATGTGTTCCAACAATATCAAATGAGAATTATTCTATAGATACTGAGATAACAACTGGTAAATTAAAATGGAGATATAGTACATATATTTGATTGCAAAGAACACTTACAGATGTGGAGTCACATGTGCAGAGGTGGGGCTACATTTACAGAAGTGGAGCTACATTTACAGATGTGGAATAACATATGCACAAGTCCTATTTAAATGTGGATAGTGCAGATGTGCAGCCACATGAATATTAACATTTCTTTTAACAGCTGATGTGAAGTCACAATTACACAGAGTAAGTTGTCAGCTCCAATTCTGAAACTCCATTTGTTTAAATCTGGAATCATTTACAGATGGAGTCACATTTTTATATGCGAAACCACGTGTATAGATCTGGAGCCACACATTCAAATGCAAAGCCTTGTATTCTTCAGATGTGATGTCACATCTACTGCTGTGAAGCCACATGCACATATGTGGTGCAACACACTGTTCTCATCAGGTGTTTGTCATTCAATGACAGTTAGGCCTGTCATATACTTGGTCCATTGATGTTAGCATTTAAACCTGGATGTACATGTATATATCTAAACTCCCTTCAGCTATCTCCTGGACCAGAGTAACCATTGTTTACAGCTTAGATCTCCAAAGCTTGCTTTCTCCTTGAAAGTTTGGATCTGTAAATATGAGATAGTCTGTGTAGGAGTGTGAGTCCATATAAGGCAAGGCAAATTCCTAGGGACATTTTGTCAATGTTGGTACTATTTGGTCTGAGGAACTGATCTATGCTTGTATCACCTTGTAGTAATAACAACATATTTAATTGAGCAAAGCAAAATTATTTTATATACAAAACCTACTATATAGAGGCCAACAAACATGTTACAAATGTTATAATAAACTCATTTGCCAAAAGCAGTTAGGAATATGAGGGTTAATTCTAACCTTATCTGGCCAGCTAGGAGAGGGTTAATGGCATAGAGCCAGTCATGGACATCTTTGTCATCTAGAGTCTGCAGCAGAAAACCTCGGTGTTTTGTCATCACAGAGAAAGTATTAGGATTCTAGAAATGTTATGTAGAATAAAACGTTATTCATAATTGGTTGATTACCAAAAAATACATTCATACACACATTCATAATCATTGTCAACATTCAATTTAATTGTAAAAAGGTAAAAATACAGCTGAATGAAAACTTGAAAAAATGAAATAATTTTCTCATGTGGTTTTTATTACCTTGAGCATGGCCTGCTGATCTTCACTGTACTCAATCTGTGCTGTAGCAAGGTTAATAAGCCCTCTTTCTACAGGGTCCTTTTCATTATTGTAGATGTACACATAGGGCCTGCGGACAACCTAGAAAAGGAAATCATATGTGTTGGTTTTGGTTTCTCCAAAAATGCATCATGCATGAACAAGGTTACATTGTTGGTTGAACAGAATGTCACAAGGGTATATTCACCATATTTGCCTGGTCCAATGATAGAAATGATAGAGATAAACTTAAACTTGAATTCTTGACATCGTACATTACAGCTCCACCTGAACCTTGGCCTGGCCAGAGAGGGCCCGAGGGCCACCCGACACATCCTTTGTATACTCCATGCATTTTAATTTAAGGTTTGTATGTCATAATGGATATCTTAGAAAATGCTACAAATTGACTTACCACCCAGCGTTTTACCCAGCCTATAGCTTTCTCCTCTAAGAAGTTCAGATATCCTTTACGTGAGACTACGGGGCTTACGCGGATCTCCTCAGTATCAGGGACATACAGGGGGTCATTCTCACCATCACCATCTGGTCTGGGGGGCAACTTCCTACCCACAGCACACAGATTGTCAGTTGACACTGCGTTAGTCATAGACAGCGTTTTATAGGCTTCCGTAGTAGGGGACACTTGTCTACAAGGTAATTTGTGTAAGATGCAGTTGGAAGTACCATTTATTTGGGTGACGATTTAGAGAAACGTTACATATCATGTTAGTGTTGATCTCATCCAGCTAAATCTGGACAAATACGCAAAATATATTTCAGCTTTCTTCTTTTTTTGATTAATTGAGTTTTTGAGATTATAATAGTTTAAAGTATCTCCCCTTTGTTACATCCAGATTCAGCTAGGTACAAGTATTTAAAGCAAACTAAAACTGATGATAAACTAAATCTAATAAAAATGTGCTGCTTTAAAACAGTAAGAATTATCTGAACTACTTTCAATGGTTTTAACTTTAAAATATTTATGTATTTTACTTTGAAAGTCTGGTTTCTCTAAAGCAATACTCATCAAGCAAGCCACAATAATACTCGTGCATTACTGTGAATCAATCACACCAACTTTTATTGACACAAATATGGTGAACAGGGAAAGCAGGAAAAATTTTCCAAAATTTAGGTAATTTTGAATTATTTTTGTGATTAGTGAGCTCTACAGATTAGTAGACTAAAGACAGGAGAAATACTTCAATTTTGAAATTACATCTTTCTATTGGTAGCTGTTGCTATAGCAACATATCTTATTTCTTGTTATATTATTGTACCATGACGATTACAGAAGAAGATTCAAAAATGAAAATTAGTGTTATTACAACATTTCTTATTAAGAACACATTGGCCTACTGTCTACATATCTTTTTTAAATATAGCAACTATAGCAGGAGGGAAGAATTACAGACTGTACGTATAAGGAGGCACAACAAGAACATGTTGTACAAACAAACATAAACATACAACAAAATAGGTCAACAGGCTCAGCCATTAAACCAACAGGGAAGCAAGAATAGAATTTGTAAAAGAAATGACTAATTTCATAAAATGCTACCAATAAGTATTTCAAGTGAAATTATGAATTGAAATTCAATGTTAAATATAATTAATTATTTCATTATAATCCTCATTATTGTTTTATTAACAAATACAAAATACTTGAATAAATGAGAATATAATAAATATTTGATCATAAACGAAAGCAGATTTTAATTTAAACAGAGTACATGTATGTGATTTAGCAGAAGTGAAGTAAAATGTGCATTAATAAAATCTAATACAAAGACAGTGACAAAATAATTAGCTCAATGATACACTATCTAACATGACAGTATAAAGAGTTAGCCCAACATATGTCATAATAATATTTAACAATAAATAATGAAACGGTTTTTAAGGCAACTTAAATATTTGTTCACAAACTTAAATATTTTTTCCAGTATCATCACTTAAATCCTGGGCTCACTCTAATACACTGCTTTTGTTATAAATATAGGAGAAACTACAAAATTGATTTTTATCGACCAATGGTCATACCTATTCAAAATGGGAGTTGAACGACTCCTTTTAATGGAACCGTTTATTGGTCCGGCAACGTTTAGATACATCTTACTGTTTTAAAGCATGCACGGAAAAAGAAATGCATGAAATTAACTACATTAAAACAGTATATGACTTGAAGCAAAATGTTGTTTCTTAATTTGAAACTGCAATGTTTATGAACTGAATGTAAAAAGTAAGCTTTGACATTAATGAATGAAAAAAGTAATTATCAAACAGTGTAATCCCTGATAAAAGAGCAAACAGCATACCATCATACCTTTAAAGAAAATGTGAGAATTTATAAATATTTTATCATATCAAAATTTGTTGTACAAATTGACATATGGTTGTAAATTGTATCCATTATACAATGTAGAGGCTTTTGTTAGGAAAAGGGATTTGGAACAGGAAAGGAGTGGAGTTTGGTAACAAATCTTATGTCAGGGTGTTCCATAAGTAACAGAACTAGTGCTGGCATTTTGTTAATTCTGTGCCAATTGTCTTCAAATCTTCACAAAATGTATGTTGAAATAATGCAACTCAACCTGCGATTTATAATTATCTTAGAAACTTATCAGTTCTAGTTGCAATGCTTCAATGTACATTATGTAAAGTTTTGAAGACAATTGGTGCATATTCAACAAAATGCTACAGCCAATCCTGTTACTTTTGGAACACCCTATACATAACAATGGAGTTATGCATAAAGTACATAAAGTAGCTTTTTCATGACAATGAAATTCTTCAAGAAAGTCGACAAAATATCTGGAAGAGCACACGTGGCATATATATTTGCAGTAGCTAGGATGTGGATGTTGTTTTTTAGTACACTCACTGATATCTGGCTCTGTTAATTTAATCCTAGCTACGCAGTTAGTATAAATACAATATAGAAGGGGTTTAAATTGGCAAGCCCTACTAAATAAACATAAGATATCTACATATAATGTCAACCAACCAGAAATGCAGTATTATTCACTTCTATGAAACCTTGTTACAGTAGAAAAATATTGGAGGAATTCTAACCTGAACATATCTGATGCTGCTGAAACAGCGGAGGTCATGCTCTCTGTCATCTGGTTACTAGGGTTACCCTCAGGAGTCTGAGCTGCCTCATCCCCTGTCTCTATGACAACTGGTGGATCTATGTGCTAGATAAACAAATATAAAGTGTTTTGAATGAAACATATCTTCATCTGGAGGTACTTAAATAAATGTTTTGTAGGAAATAGGGAAGTAAAAGGCATTCATACCATGGATGTCTCTTCACAAAAATAATCATGGACAATATGATGTGATGTTGAGTTCAATATTTTAATCCGCTAAAAATTTCCGACAAAGTTCAATTTACCTTAGGTGATGGTGGCACCACTGGGCGTATTGGTACCATACGTTTGAGACACATCGTCATCACCTCCGTCTCTTTATCACATTCTGCCGTATCAGAATTAGCCACAGCACCCTCCAGCTTTTGGTTGTCCATCTCTGCTAGGGCTGCATTTTCATCTTTCTCATCAATATCCTTATCTTCCTTGCTCTGTTGGGCCAAAGCCTTGGCTTTCATGGACAGGTTCAGTGCCTCTTTGTCCAACTTGCTCAGAGCTTCCACATTGTTTTGTTCCTGGAGTTTCTCACGTAGGAGAAGGATATGTCTAGTCTTCTCAACCTGCAATGACAAGCAAAGTAACAGTAAGCAAACCATTGTGATGATTAATAATGTTAATAATGTTATAAAGTACAAAACAGAGGTTTAGTGTTGTTATACTTTGACTCTATGCGGTTGTATGGTTATGTGTTACAGCATTACTGACAATTGAGATTCTCAAGTTGTGGAAAGCAGTTGAAGATGACCATTTCCACCCATTACCATTATGGGCTCAAATATACAAAAATGAAATAAAAATAAAATACAGGAACAAATTAAGCTGGAAAGGACTGAAGCTACATGTAAGTATATAAAAGTAAGCCATTTTCAAATTATTACTCTCAAATTCTACATAGACTAACATACCAACTCCAGTCTTGTTAGCTTTTCAAGCTCCCACTGGTGGTCCAAAATGAGGGAATCACCACGAGGGCGCCATCCCTGCAGATTCTCTTCTCCCCTCACATATGTCGATGATGTATCAAGAACACGACGCTGGCGTCTCTGCACTCCTAATAAGAGAAAAATCAGTTGAATGAAATGAAAGTTTCTGTTTGAGAAATTATGTAAATGGAGTTATGGACATATCGCATGAAAAATTGATAACTTATATTCCAATTTTTGAAAAGAGACATTAAAACATCACCAAATCACAACTTAACAAACAGACTACACACAATTAGACCAGGACCATACACTACTATGTCATGTGGTATACAGTATAGAGCACTAAGAATGAGGTGCAAGACTTGAAAATCAAAGCATGAAATCATTCCAAAGTGACAAGTGTAGATACTAGATACACATACAAAATGAATTTTTCGAATTCTGTGAGACTAAACTGCTAACATCTGTGATCAAATTGTGGAGCAATGAATGAGTAAAACAAGAAAAACAATGATATATCAAGATTTAAATATTGATTTGAAATTTATATGAATGTTTCTCAATCCATCAAGAGGTCTGTCTAGAAATGCTCAGACTAGAAAAATGAGTCATTGTCATCAAGCACCAACTCAATCAGCACCCAAATAGGGCCACCAAGTAGCCAGTTTTAAGCTCAAGAAAAAAATGTGACTTGATAAGTGGTTGTCTCAAAGGAACACCAACTGTAATACAGACTCATGAAGATGGAATTTCAAAAGATGAAGACATTCATTACACCAGTGTGTTACCCGAGTCTGTGAAGAACAACCGATAAGAGAAAGGTGAAGATAATGTATTGAAACTGTTTCATTTACAATTAACCTATTAAAGATGTGAATCCCAAGAAGGTTATTTGGTATAACAGTGCATTAGAGTGTTGTATATATTCATACAATTTCTGTATTTTACATGTATATGATACATATACATATAAAATACAAATGACAACACACTCATTCCTCTCTTAAAAAAGGATGACTAAGCACTCTGAAATTGCTGCCAATGTTGACCTTGACCTTGAGCTGATTGTATAGTAAACCTGTATGATAATTGTTGCTACACAAACGGTATACGAGGGGTGATCAATAAACAAGTACTGTAAAGTCTTTAATAGGTTATTTTCATCAGACACAGGTGGGAATGTAATGAATAGTGCACAACAAAAGACAAACATAATGTACAAACCTGGGCTACCTGTTTCCTGCACTCGTTTAAGCATAATCTCGTAGACTCCCGTCACGCGGTTACAATCGTGGCTTCGCCCAAATCCTTGGCCAAACAACGCCTTTAATGACCTGAAACGACCACTGGAGTCCAAATGGGACCTATTATGAGTTCACGAAACAACACCAAGGAAAACTAACTAAATAAGAATAAATCCAATATTCTATACTTCTGTGTTTGTCTATCTGTTGCTATGGAAATATCACTGTAGATCACAAAACTTTTGTGTCTAATAGTTTTCTGAAGAAGCCAAATTTGGAAAAGAAATATTGGATTTAAAACATATCAAAATATTTAACTAAAGAATAATTGTGTAAAAATATGAAAAAGAACTATTTTAATGTTTGACTAAGCTAAATATACATTTAATTCCTAAAACAATTTAAGCAAAACAACATACAAATCTAGAATTAAGATATATCTTTATTTTGCTCATCTTTTCCATAGTCATTGTTGAAATATAAAAATATACTACAGTCACATGTAATGAATATTAAAGGGACTTGAAGGGATAGAGATGAGTTTTGAGTAAAACTGTCACAATTTTTTCATTATTTTTTGCTCTCATTATTCCATGTTAATTGCCTATTTTCTAAAAATAAATCTGATTATATTTTGAGATAATCCTTTATTAGATTATCATGAATATTTGGCAAAAATGAGATGGGATGTCCCCTTTTTTAATTCAAACAAATTTGGTGATTTCTGCATCTAAAAGCTTTAATTAATTCTATATTTGATCAGATATCTCATAAATTTTTTCAGAAAATAAAATCAAGATAGTGAAGAAAACACTGGTATGATTTTTAAAAAGGTTCCAACATGTTAAACTCTATCCCTTCTACTTCGTTGCATTTAGCAAGAAAGCACTTTTGTTTTAAGAGGAAAGCAGAGTGCAGCTAGCATTACCAAACTTAAAGTGCGGATGGAATGAAAGACATTTTGCTGTATATTTGGCTAAGTGAAGGCCATCTTGATACATCAAGATATTTATGGCTGAGAGATGGGACAGGTTCTGGTGGAACAGGTTTGGTGAAAGGAATAACAAGAGTGATTTGATAGTGTTGATTTAACAATGTCACACATTATCAGAGTTGTCAAGTTGGCAAATGAGAGAGGGGCTTGAGGTATGTAGAAAACAGAACTATATTCATATTTATGATTCTATGTAATTTTTTACTAAAGGAGAAAATACAAAATACAGGTAAGGAATGACCAATATATTTTTGGTACTTTCTCTTAATGTGTTTGATACTTTCCCTTTATATAGGTGGCATATGGGGAACCCTGAGGAGAAGGTGTGAGGAAAACTATAAAACTGTGATACCTGAATGTCTCGAGTTTATTAGATGGGTCAATTAGAGGCTTTTTTGAGGTTTCAAAAACATGCTTCATAGATGCATCTATTGTGTTCAACATGGGTTTAATATTCTTCTTATATATGTAAGACAACCTTCAAATAACATATATAAAACTAACTGAATGAAGAAATAACATTAAATAATCATGTTTCTATATATTTACCCTTGCATCCATTTTCTATATGCGGAAAGTAAAATAATGACAAGCATGTTAAAAGCATGATGTGATGTCATATGTAATGAAGAACATGGTACACAGGGGTTGTATCAAAACTAGTTCCTGTCCAAAGGGAACTTTTTACCAGAAAGTTTTGTCTTGATATTTGCCCTGGATGAATATGGGTGCATTTAGGCAACATGCAATTTTTGGCACAAAATAAAGTAAACAAATGAAAATAGCTAAGCTCTTAAGTAGCCATATACATTGAACTTAAGAGGGGTGGGATAGTCATGAGAATAGGTTTGATCCCTGGATCTTGTTTCACACGATCGTGATTTCACTTGGATCAGAGTACAGTAAAACATGTTGATGTGAACATGTATCAAAAACAAACACCTAAAACAAACACCTCTTGCAATGTTTCATTATTTAAGGTGTCTCAATTCACCTGATGTGTCATTTCAACATTTAAGGTTCCTATAGTTGTACTAGGAAATACTTCCCAACAAAATCACTGATAGGCTTTACACATCTTTAAATGGAAGCAAAAGGGTTTGAACAGGGAAGCTTCAGAACAGGCATTTAAATGTGGATCTCTCTAAAGCAAAATCACTTTTAAGCAAATGCATTTGTGCTGTTATGCAGTCTTAATTGTTCACTTTAGTCAGGTTTTACTGTACCTGATCTAGCCCACCCCTAGACACAGTCAGAGCAGTGTTCGTTTTTTATTAGATAGCATTAAAAACATGTTATATTTTGTTGATGATAAATGGATGAATGAAATGAAATTGTTGAAATAAAATGATTGATTAAAAACAGAAATGAATAATAGAGTAAACCAAGCATCACATGACCAATATCACATTTCATGAACCAATGAAATGAACTCGATGAAGTCACATGACCCTTGAATCTATAGGTCTATAACAAGACTTGGACTAAGGGCCAGATCAAAAATATTATTATCAATGATATCATGCTTGTTATCTAAACCTTTCTGAACACTTAAGTTACATATAATGCTTAATATTTTATCAATATCAAATGCAACTACCCTCTCTTACGAAACCAGTTTTGCATGATATGATGTCAAACTATATTTTCGATACAGCCCCAAAAACATGTTAAAGTGTGATGTATACAGCTGTCAAAGGCATACCTTGGGGCAGATATCCTGGCATCCCTGGCATAGAACACCATACTGAAATCCTTGGTGATACATGCAGGCTGGGCACAGTTATCCATCTAGAAAATACCAATATTAAGCCAAAATAAATTTTCTGAATTTTTTAAATTGATATCTCATGCCTTTTGTGTGGATTATCCAATATCATTGAAATGTTACAATACTGGATATATATCACTAATATTACCATAATTATGTATGTCGCTATGTAATGTACATGTTAATGCCTTTTAACAACCTACATGATGATTTAATAACAGATTATACAAACTCATAAGTTACATGTATATCCTCAATGGACTGTAATTTAGATACATGTTATTAAATAACAGGTATATATTTCTATAAAATGTTTGTTCACTTACATCTAGATATGCAGACATGGTCATGTATATCTTCTCACCATAAGGGGTGACTCGATTCAAGAGGGGGGAGTTATGTAGCGAACTATCCCATGCTGCTTCAAACCGGAAGAATATTCTGAAAACAAAGTCATATTGCACAATGATTAACTTATAATGATACAAATGGTGCAATGCTAATCTTTTTAAAGTGCAACACTAATGACATGGTTTCATTCATTAGTGGGAGCCACAATAGTTCAGATGCTCTCTGGTTATAAACTTCCATGCGACATTTAGGTGTCAGTTTCCATGTGACATTTAGATGGCAACTTCCATGTGACATTTTAGTGACACCTTCCACGTGGCATTTAGATGCCAAGATCCATATGACATTTTGGTGCCAACTTCCATGTGATATTTTGGTGCCACCTTCCATGTGACATTTTGGTGTCACCTTCCATGTGACCCACCAATACACTGTCATGTGATTTCTTCAACAATCTATATTGTGTAGCAGAGACATGTGAAGTTCTTACATACCTTTCATCATTCGGTTTAATCATGTAGTGTGCTGGTAGAAGATTTAGAGACAAGACAGAGTTCTCCGTGTCTTCTTCTTTCCAGTCTGGTGTATTCCTGATTCTCCCAACCACCACTTCCTTCACATCACGCCATATAAGGTCAGGCCCGTTCTCGTGTACGATGGTGATACATATACGTCTCTGTATGCCCTGGTGGAACATGAAGCTTCCAGCGCATGGCATATCATCACTATGGTCCACCACTGATGGCAAATACCTGGAAAGGAAAATAACTGTCTTAAAATATCGAATGTAAGAAAAAGTACAGAGTGAATGTGTTGAGTAATTTGAGTTCTAGCCAAGTATTGTTTCCATTTCCCAATAATAGTGACCTAATTAGGACTCTGTTAGTTTATACTCATTCAGGGCCAGCTAGGGCCATTATGCCTTGGGACTAAAACTTCTTTTACACCAGGGTTATGCATTTACAGTATGTGTTATTATTGTGGCTCATGGTTTTTTCATACCTTATCACAACTATCACCCTTAAGTTATTTGACTGGACAAGGACAATCATGGAAATGACACTTAAAATGAAAAGAAGTGGCTGATAAGAATACTTAGCAGATTTCTGTTGTGAGCTAAGATGGTGAAAGAACTTACTCTCCATTTGGGGCTAATTCACAGATTTCAAACCACACCAGGGCGTCATACTTGGCATGTACATGACTTGTGCTGCAAAATAAAATAATAAACGATTAAAGCTTTTCACATCTCTTAAATATTGTCCAAGATAGATGAAAATGGAATAAATTGGCTCAATGATATTAGACCAACATGGTGAACAGAAATAGTAGAAATACCATTCTCTAGTCAGAGTCCAATACTGATAACTAAAGGTTCACATATTCTTGGCCCAACCCATATAATGTTTATTAAAATATACATGGATTTGACCTCTCTAAGGAACAATTCAATAAAACTAATCAGTGATAGCAATATCTATTAACTGTGATAGTAATATATATTAGTTGTGATATCAATATCAGTTGTGATACCAATATCTATTTGTTGTGATCACAATGTGAAAAATTTTTCTGAAATATTAAACAGGCCCAGTACAATCACCGAGACCTACAAATGCATGTTTTACAGTAATTAATTCAAGATGTGCTTTATAACTTCATATGAAATACAAACTATAAAGTAACTCTTCAAAATGTTATGAAAACATTTTCATAACAAAATGTTGCAGCTACGAAGGTACAATTTTATTTCTTCCATTCCTTCGAGACGTAGGCAGAATCTCAACGATGTTTTTGACAATGATGCCGACACAAGTTTGTATCAAAAAGATCATGAAGACTACAATTCATGAAATTGTGAAACAAGAAAAATTGTACCTTCAAAGCTGCAACATTTTGTTACAAAAACAGATCCATTTCCGTATCTCATGTAGTTTGAAGAGTTACTCCACCGTGATACAGATTAAAATGCTTGACACACAATTCATTCAAGATTAAAACACAGAGGCATTGTTAGTATCAGCATATTGCTAAAACACATCAATCAAGTAAAAAAACCAAGTCAATCCATCCGATATATCTTACTATTAACCAGGGGTTTGCTTGAAGCAGCTTTCGCGAGATCATAATGTATATGTATGTTGTTTTGAGTTATCATTATTGTCCTTTTGTGTGACATTTGCCACAGAAAGCAAAATTCTAATGAAAGCCTCAAAATGCATCTTAGCAAATCTTTACATTAGACCTACAGCATCGACCAATTCCTCATGACATGCTTCCTGAGGCCTATTTCTAATCAAGAAAAATATTTCTGACATGCTCCCTGGAGCCATTTCATAATTATGGAAAATATTTCTGTTATGCTCAATGGTTATGAAATTATGAAAAATATTTCAGAATCTCTCTCTGGAGCCTATACATAATCATGGAAAATATTTCAGGCATGCTCCCTAGAGCCTTTCAAATGCTCATGTAAAATATTTCAGGTATGCTCCCTGAAGTCTATTCATAATAATAATCAAGGCAATTATTTCAGGCATGCTCCCTACAGCCTATTCATAATCATTGAAAATATTTCAGGCATGCTCCCTAGAGCACATCAATGCTCAGGTAAAATATTTCAGGTATGCTCTCTGAAGCCTATTCATAATCATGGCAAATATTCCAGGCATGCTCCCTACAGCCTATCAATACTCAGGTAAAATGTTTTAGGTATGCTCCCAGGAGCCTACTTAATCATGGCAAATATTTCAGAATGCTCCCTACAGCCTATTTAAAATCACTGAAAATATTTCAGACATGCTCCCTAGAGCCTTTCAATAATCAGGGAAAATATTTCAGGTATGCTTTCTGTAGCCTATTCATAATCATGGAAAATATATCATCAAAGCAAAGCAACACTCCAAATATTTATTAAAGTTAGTTTAATGTACAATGAAGCCCTACACCAAAAATCAACAAAAACAAAATAAAATCGTACATGTATGAACTCCTTGGCAGACAAATTGTGTCTCGGCCTCTATGACTGAAATATAAACATTTACTTTAAATAATTCAGGATTTGTAAAAATAAGACTGTTTTAAAAATCATGAAGAATTTAAAATTTTATTTTCTTTGAAACTACATGCCATAATACATAGTACATGTGTGTCTTAAAACTACAATGTACACAAAATGACTATGATTACTACATCCATGTAAACATAAGATACATGTAGGCTGATTATTATGTACTAATAATATGTATGAGTCATAAGAATTTATAATTGTTTTAGCATATTAAACATTTCTTCTGAAGCAAGTATTTTCCAGGTTTTTACAGAATCCTTTTAATTCTCAACTTATCATAAATCAAACTTGAAAGTCAATAGTCTTAGTGCATTAGTACTTATGTCAAAATCACACAATACAAGGCAAGAGGGTCTAGAGGGAATATAACTAGTGATATACAACTATAATAATGTATAAGTAAATAAACTAAGTATAATTTACTCCCCAAATGATCAGGAATAAAGCAGGGTATAATGTAGGTGTAAGTGAGGAACAACCCACTAGTAATCTGCCATCTATACAAGTCCAAACACTTTCACGATGACACATTTTCAGAGAAAAAGCCAGTGTGAATGCATTCCAATTTTTCTGTTCTTCTTTTCAGGAAAAGGTGGCACAAATCAGCTTACATTATATTGTTCAGAAATTTTAAATTGACAAACACCTCAGAGGTGACAAATACTTGAGACATGTCAGTACAGATGCTTTATTGTTGTTCTGTACCAAACCTCCATTCTGTTTGTTTTCCCAAAGAGCTCTCCAATACAGAATAGAGCTTTAAAAAAGTGCAGTGTAAACTTACCTCAGTGGTGTGATGATCCCTAGTTTGGGGGAGGGTACAGGGATTGAGATTGGTATACTCTGTGGAAATGTTCTGTGTGGGGGTCGCTGGGTGCTAGAAAGGTTGGAAAATATCGATAAGAACCTATGTATAATCAGTGAGAATTGAGAAAGTGCAGCTTATTATATGGTAATCTTATTCTAGACACATGTCCATTCTCCACCCATGGATGTGTGGTTTACTACCTGTAGCTGATATGCATGGTACGTGGGTTTATATCAACATTCTTGACCTGATTAGCATTGTTCTCAAGAGATCTAACTGCTCCTTCTCTAAGTTAATAAAAATTCATGAAAAAGAAACATTTGTATTAGAATCTGGTCCTATCTGATTGTTTAGAAGTATCTACAGTATATTGGAATTCAACAGACCCATTAGGATGAACATTTTATATTTTGGATAATATTTCTTTGAGACTTCTTTTTTGTTATTTTTACATTTAGAAGAGTTTGAAATTTATTACAACTTTGGTTGAAACGCAATATCCCAAAACATTAAAGGTTATGTAAATATATTTTGGACCTACTTTTAAAACTAAATTACAGACCAGTTATCATGTAAAAATATAAGCTGACCCAGATCAAATCTGAAGGCTCTAGGCCTTTGGGCAAGACTTATATCATAGTACACAGCAAATATTTTTGTACTTACAAACTAGCGGGCACTTCCCGAGCCTGATCATGCAGAGGGTGTAGCTGGTAGTGTCCAAACACCTCAAACACGATTGGCTGACACTTAACATAATCGAGAAATGCCTTGGTGACTGTCACAGTGAACTGAAAGTATATATCACAGTGTAACATTATATAGCTTTTAATATGATATGGTTGAATAAGCACTCTGAGGGAGTACATGTATATTTCATATAAGGGGAGTAAAAAAGACTCAAAAAAGCTCTATAAAAGGCCAAAACATGGTTTACCACAACTCATATTTGCTTTATATTCGTATTGGCATTTACTGAGGTAAAAATAAAGATAAAAATAAAGAAAACACATTTCTAGAATCTGCAATAGCATTTGGTTTACACTGAACAAGATTGATTTACTTAGTCTCACACATATATTCAAATGTATCACACAGAAAAATGGCAAAACTAAATGGTAATTAATGCAAATGAAGCTTGTTCCCAGAGTTCAACTCACATTTTGCACATGGTAGAAGCCCAGGGGAGGTCCTTTCCCAGTGTTCTTCAGGGGTTCTGTGGAAAATGCCTCATCATAACGGTGAAGAAAACTGTAAGAGATACTCAGCATCAAACAAACCAGTAAGTCAATGTCAGTTAAGTTAAAAATCATTAAAAGCAGTTATCAAATATATAAAACTGATGGGTCTTTCCTCATGTGCAATCATTCAATCAAAATATTGATGAAGTAGTACAAGAAATAAAGGACTTAACACAATGAAAAAAAAAGCTTTCCCAATCAAAAACATTAATCCAGGTTGTGATTTATGTGATTATTCAGTTATTCAGTTTTTTATTATTGTAAACAAATGCTAGAAGATGGCTTACTTGAACTGGCAGAAGATGTCAGCATATTCAGGTGAGATTCCTGACGCTTGGAGAACTGTGACGCGGAATGTAAACTGTTCACCAAGCTTTAAGTGATTGGGTAAGTCTGTCTCATTGATATCTGGGATCTCACATGTGCCAAGCTTTCCTTTCTCTGTGTCCGTTTTATCCTCTGTAAAAATAAAACAGATATATGAGTATTATGGACACCCTTTGTGTCATTTGGAAAACCTTGCACAATAGCTAACTGGATGCATGTTTTATTGTAAAAGAATGACAACTCTAAAGCAGAGATCATTTGTATCTTCAGATTGAGGGATCAGCTGGTATAATCTCAAAGGATCATAAATAAAATCTCTGATTTAGCAATCCATTTTGTAAATTTTTGAATCATTTTTCAAATATTATACAAAATAAATCTACAGTTTAAGCAATTTCTTAAGACAATCCCTACCTTCAGCTTTTGCCTCAGCCTCTGGATCATCCCGACTCTCTCCCTCAACAACACGAAGATCTTCTGACTCCTGGCCAGCTGCCTCAAACTTTACCATGCCAGACTTCTACAATATGAATTTGGATTAAATCAGCACTTTACTCATTCATTCATTCAACATAACAATTTGTTATGCAGAATGTACTTGTGTTTCTGAGTCTCTTATTAATACAAGCACTTACACATAATTAATTTGAATTAATAAGAATCCTTTAAGCATAAGCATGGCTCCATTGTCGAAATAACAACTATGTTCATAGTTCTAATAATAGGTTTTTAATATCGACTAATTTTTTATACAAAATATAGCAACAACAATGTTTTTTGCACTATCAGATACCTTTTTAAAATATTCCTCATCATTGAAAGCAATCTTTGCATTTCCAGACTGTTTAACTCCAGCAGGTGTGTTCTCCTCCATATCTATAAATTACAATATAATATGTCAAATATTATAATGCCTAACATTCTAAAATTTTAATCTGTTACATTACTATGATACGAATTGTATCAACTTTGCCACCATGAATCTGCAATTTTGAACCCTTGATATACACAAATCATTTGTAAGATTGTGACTTCTTATTAAATTTCTGAATTTAATTCCTATTTTAGGTTCCTTCGCTTTGTGACAATTTCTTATTTAAATCCACCTTGTAATATTTTAACAAGTTTATAAAATATGAATTTTTGAATTTAATTCCTATTTTAGGTTCCTTCGCTTTGTGACAATTTCTTATTTAAATTCACCTTGTAATATTTTAACAAGTTTATAAAATATGAAATAAAGCACATGCAACAAATTGCCTATTTTGTTCAATTTATGATGTTATATAATTGAAATTACTTTGATAATTTCTCAAGATAATCTTAAGACTAACCAGTAACAGCCTGCACGGTAACTCGTAGGAAACCTTTAACATCTCCTTTCTCACTCACTATGGCAACACGGTGGATCAACGGAACTGGGTAAACAAGGTTGCTCATATATACAAACCCTCTGGAAAAGTAAGAAAACATTACAAAAGGTTACACATTTCATATTTTTTACAATTGTGTGTCAAAAGTGTATCATTTTGATTGATTTGGCTTCATCGTGTATTCCCTGTGAACTAACAATGAAAATGATAAGCACACTCTTAGGGGATAAATATTTATTGTTTATATTGTCCATTTTGTAATCAAGAACAGTGATCTCCCCAGCATTAAAGCAAGTGGGCGCAGCACCCACCTGAGATTTTGAAAATAGGCTTGCACCCATCTTAAAATCCATTTGCACCCACTTGAAAATGAGAAAAAATGAGAAAATCATGAAAAATTGGCATATTTTGACCAATTGTCTGAGTTGTGAAAATGAAAATTTTGCACACACCTGAGAAAAAATCCTAGGGAGATAACTGAAGAGTTATTTGAATAAATCTTCAAGACAATCATTCAAAGGACATTTCTATTTTCCAATTGAACTGTTGTACATGACAGCATATAAAAAATATGAGTTGGCAATACCTTCCTACAAGACGGAACCATGGAAATCGGTCATAAAAGGGGTCACCACCAGTGATGCTATCAATGTCACGACATGGCAAGGGAGATGTTGGCGAGAGCTCAGCCTCATTCTGATACATCTCACGCATCAGCTCAAGTCTTTGTCTGGAAAATTGAACAACATTCATAACTAATTAAAAAGTAAAAAATAGCCCATTTCATCGATTGTTTGGTGAAATGTTTGTCATAGTTGATAATTAGTAATTGTTAGATGGAACACAGTGTGTGATTTAATGTAACACAGGTGAAACACAATCTTAATGTTAGACCATATTAAGCATATACATTCATAACAAGGTATGTTTCTATTCTCAAAATGATAATTTTCTCTCCTTTCCCCTTCATTTATCTCTGCGAATTCCATGTCCAACTGAATAAATTTTAGTGACAGTTAAATTATATTTTATTGCAAAGTATAAGCTGGAAATATAACTGTGTGGTATTCAATAATATAGCTTAATTGTGGTGATGCATTCAATTTTGCAAACCAAGATATTTTTATTATTTGATGCGAAAATCGAGCATTTTGATTTTCCATAGACAAGGGGAACAATAGAAATTGGTCCTATACGATAGGGCAATGATATGCCTCAGTGTAATTGTCTTAAAACAGTTAGGAAATATACAACATATGACAGTATACTCTCATATATACTGTATAAGCACTGGTCCCCATCTGGTTCAAAAGACGTTAAATCTACAACAAAATCCATGAACTTCCACTGGAGGAAATTTTTATTTTCACCAAGAAGGAGGTTGACTTGTATCCAAATATTTTACCCATATCGTATTAATAGTAACATTCGTCATGAGTATATACATCCAAGGGCACCATTAATCAAGCGAGAAACCCCTTGCTTTAGCAACCAGGATGTTAACACAACGCAACTAAGATTTTTGAAATTCACCAGATAAATCTGTAAAAATATTTGGACACAAATCAACCTCTTTATTGGTGAAAATGATGAAAATGAAGATTTCCCCCAACAGAAGTTCATCCATTTTGTTATTTAGCTCTTTATAACCAGGTGGGGACCAGTGAAGGCCATGCTTTTTCTAACTAATATTATCACACTTAAAGTAATAACAACAGAAATCTTGAATTCAAAAATAATAATTTATACATTAAGCAAATCAAGTTTGCATAATTATAACAAATTAATTAATTTAATTCAATTATATCAATGCATAAAAAAGGAAGCCAATGTAAATCAAACTAGCTACTTTTGAAACCAATACTTGCAATAAATAGCCTACTTATCTTTATAGATAGTAACATTCATATTGTATACATTGTTTATATCAATCAAATTATGAATCGATCCAAACAAGAAGCAGAGAATTCAAACACATGTAGAGATGATAGGGATGAACTTATCATATCAAAGATGCATTCTATCACTAAATCAGATCTGTAAGATAAGACTCACTAAATTGACTCACAATTTTTTCTTAATATACGTATTCATTTATAGTAAATGTAGACCACAGTGTTTAGTGTTAAGTTGAAACAGAATATAGTATATATCATACTGCGTAAAATTGTAACATTTGAATCAAATTTTTTGAATCAAAATAATTTTCTCATTGAGTGGGAACAATGTGAGTTGACTGAGTGAGAGTCTTACTATATTGCAGTTTAGCCACACGTACATAAAAACAGAATTGCAGGGTGCAAAGATAAAACTGGGAGAACTGTATTATAGCCAACCTTGAGGGTAACAAGTTAGTAAAGTTGAAATAATTCTGGCTACAAGCCGTCAAACATTCCAAGAAATCTTTAGAGGCTTCTGGTGTATCGGGAGAAATGTCTTCGTTGTAAACCTTTCGCATGTGGTCCAACCTATCCCTATAGGCAGCATATAAAGAGAGACCTTCAAACTATCATTCATATCTATTGCAGTTAGAGTCCCACTTTTGCAGTTAAAGTCCCACTTTTGCAGTTTAAGTCCCACTTTTGGAGTTAAGAGTCCCACTTTTGCAGTAAAAAATCCCACTTTTGCAGTAAAGAGTCCCATTATCAGGACTAATCCAAATTATGTAACCTTCATGTCCAACAGATCAAATATTCTGATGATTTTGTTTTTTGGGCAGCCAACTTTCAAGGTTTCTGACAGAAAGTGATGTCTTATGTTAAACAAAGTTATGCTTTTGAAAGTATAGGAAAACTAACAAAAACTGATCCTAAACAAACAAAAATCAACAAATATGTTGAAATCCCACATTAAGGGAAAATTCAATACCAGGTATTGTAGCACCCTTGTCCACATTTTTTTTAATCTTTTTATTATCATACTTCTATATAACCCAAATTTAAGGTGGTGACATCACTTCCTGCTAAAGATGACGACAACCATGTTACTTAAACATTATGAAATCTCTCACAATTCAATGGAAATAATAATTTTCTTGCAGCATTGAGAAAATACACAAAATGCAATTCTAGGAAAATCTCATTTACAATTCAAACATGTAAGGCATTTTTTAAGGTCTCATTCCGACCTTTCAAATAATACTTACAATAAAAAAATTCAAACCCTTCATTGCCACACCTTTATATAACTCTATACGGAGAAATAAGAAACTGAGAAACTATGGGCACATGGTGAAAAAAACATGGGCTTCCATAAAATGGATATAAGCATTGAACTGACAGACAGACAGACGAACAAGGTGATTCCATAAGTTGAATCAATAATTTAAACTCACACCAGCCCAAAAAAATTTTGTTTTAGTACTCAAAATATTTTCATATTTTGTCATAACTCTCTGAATAATTTATTCATAAATATATATTTCTACATCTTACTAAAATGTTAGTAAAATTCTTATTCATGTTGGATGAAGCCGGATTACACCACATAGTCGTATTAAAACTTCCATATGCGTTATATTATCATATATCTTATAGACAATCATTTACAGAGGCCAGGGAGTCCAGTCATAAAATGTACTGAAATAAATTTCCTTGTGTTACGGCCATCATTCGCCCATCTCTATCTTTGAACCGTAACACATTTTGAAGCTTTGTCCTGTTTTTGTATGAGCTCAAAGACCACGTGAGGCGCCACCTGACTACGGGTACTTGAGTGACATCATTGAATGTAGAGTCTCAGTATTAAGGTAGTTCACAATTACTTATACATGGAAAAATATGATTTCGAATTTACTCTTTTAAAATACAGTTTATAGTTCAAATCTGGATTATATGCTGGCCTATAGGGTTGGAACTCATGCCTTTAGATGAACAAGAAATAATGAAAGTATTTAAAACCCTAAGTGCGAAACGTAACAAACAGTGTTTTAGTTATTTTAATGAAATTCTCATACCACTGATATATTAAAAGATTAAAAGATGACAACATATTCTCAACAAACTTGTTTCAAACTTGACAAAATGACTAATTTAGCCAATGGTTGATTTGAAAAAAATGTTGATTCATCAATGGTTGACTAAATGAAGGGGGTTGATAAAATGTTGGCTTGATCAATTGTTGACTTAACATCAGGTTGGCTTGACAGAGGATTGACTTAAAAAGGTTGGCTTATATGAGTTGGCTCGGCAAATGTCGGCTTGGCTATAGATTATTAACTTGACAAAAAGTATACTGGCTTGACTAATGCTTGATTTGAACAATATAGCACTTTGAAAGTGTGACAAAAAAGATTGGCTTATGTGAGTTGACTTGGCAAATGTTGGCTTGACTATAGATTATTACCTTGACAAAAAGTATACTGGCTTGACTAATGCTTGATTTGAACAATATAGCACTTTTTCAAAGTGCGACAAAAAAGATTGGCTTATGTGAGTTGACTTGGCAAATGTTGGCTTGGTAAATGTTGGCTTGGCAAATGATTATACCTTGATAAAAAAATATACTGGCTTGACTAATGCTTGATTTGAAAAAAGCAGGCTCAACTATTGTTGATTATATAAGAAAACATAGAGAAATATTATGTAGACAAGACAAACTATAAAGAACAGTAAAAGTTGTCATAGTTAAAGAGGTTTGAATGTTAGCTATTTCCTAATAGTAAGTAGACTATTTTACAAGTATCTACAAGTAAACATTCACTAGATTTGTGTCTTGAATGTATGGATTAGGGATACCACAAAAGCAAATCAAATTTGATATTGTGGCACCCCTAAAATTCTGTGATATGGACAGAACATGCATGAAGAGATGAAAACACTTAATGCTCAACATATTCTTCCAACATGCTTGTTCTGAGCCATTTCTGCCTAGTACTTCTCTATGTACTACAATATTTCCTCTTAGGCATGGATTTTTTACTTCATATGCATACAGATTCACTAAGGTACTACTGCGATATAAGGCATGAGTTCCTCCCCTGCCCACAAATTTAAAACCATGCAGTAATTCGAACCAATCAGATGATTGCTCAGTTTTTTCAAATGATAAACAAGTCATAAAGAACAATTACACTCTATCCCATCTAATGTTTCAAAATGATATTTCAGGAAAATATTAGTAAATTAATCTATGAACAAGTATGAAATAGTAGAAACAGTAATTGATACACACCTTAATTTTTCGAGACACCAATAATGAGTAGCGCCATTCTTTAAATCCTGGACTTGGACTGCAACAATTGTTTTAGGGAATGGTCTGGTATCATCCCGACCCTCAGGGGGAAGAAGATCTGCGGGAAGTGGGGAGTACAGGGTGTCTGTTAACAGAACAAACTGAAACTGGACCTACAAAAACAAAAAAGTCAAAATCTTGTTTTTTGTATTTATTCAAATCTGTTTCAGTAAGTCACAGAAATTGATATTTGTGTAAATAAATGGACTTAACTTCAGGTCCTGATATTCAGAAACAGATATCCTTTTATATCATCATATGATTCTAGCACATTTTTGTTATAGTATGTAAACTAGATTCAAATAGATACATTCAGTAACTGATCCCCAAATGGGCATCTTTATATTGGCCATAACTACTGATTTTCACTATACCTAGCTTGTGATTCTTATAGTTTAGAAGAAAGCCAGGGGGGATTGTTTTGGAGTATATACAATGTTTTATTGCAAAATATGTTGGTCTGATGTGTTCTGATGAAGATTAGACAAATATGCAGTAATGTTACCTTGAGCAATTTTTTCTGAATTTGCAATATTCCATAAGTAGGGATTTTAAGAATCTAGTTTTAAGAACTTATATACTTGCTTTTACATGGTTCTAGTGATTTCATGTCATATTTACATGATTAGCTTTGAACTGAACCGTAAAACTGATAAAAATTAATGCCGTGATTAAGTGCTGAGTCAGCGGTAATAGTTATTTTTCTCATTTCAATTGATTTTACATATCTAATCAATTTACAACCATAAATTTGGACTTGGATGGTCAAATCTTAATGTTTCAAAGAACAAGGTTACTCTTTTAACAAAGATGTCAACTTTATTTGAAATATAATATGCTGATGTCAGCAAAATACTTCATCAAATTTGTAAAGCAGTCAGTTTCGCCACCAGGTGGCTGATTTGGGGGAAATAACATGGCAGGGTATTACAAAATTCCTTTAAACTTGAATATTCATCAGTTTTAGTGGTTCACTTTTCACATTACCCTTATGTATGTGATAGTTATACAAATTAAAATATGTCCAGTAAGAGAAAATATTATCTGCCCAACACAAGAAAAGATATTTCACTTTTTGTGGTTTTACAATATGGGGTCTATTGGGAATCTCCCCGACCTAGAAGTCACATTTTCTCAGAAAAATAAATTTTCATAATTGATAAACTCTTTGCAAAACCACATTTCTAGATGTAATTTTACATGTAGATTCCAAATATGACATCAGTTTGAGGTAAATCAAGATTATTTCTACTCGCATCTAGGATATTGGCCCTAGAAGCTCTAAGGGAGGGGGGGTGTACAAAAGGCCCTCACAGTTAAGGTTTTCTCTAAAACTTTCTAAAGGCATCAGGTAGAATCTTCAATTCCTCGGTAGCTTGAGCTAGAGATACAACAAATGTATTACGAAAAAATCAGCAGAATTGTATGTAGGGTAATTAATTTATTATGATGAAATCATCAGCTCCAAGAGACAAAACCTTATTATTATATAAACTGAGAATCACTAATTCACGTTCAAACCGGACAAATATATCTTAGATCTAGTACGTTCAGAACAAACATGGGAAAATACCCTATAAAGAAGACAGGGTCAGACCTTTGGAACACTTTACCTCATAAAATTACTCATTCTAATACTCTTTCCACCTTCAAAAAATTAAGATTACACTTGCTCAACAATTAACATCATTACTTTAAGAAAGAATCAGATCTAGCGAGCAGCCTAACAAAAAATTGTTTCAATTTTCGAATATTTCTGGCTTATGTCATTCCTTTTCATGTCTATGAGGGTTGTCCCAGAAGTAATGCACTATATGCTCTAACTTTCTTTAATATTCTTCATATTCAGCTGAAATTTTGTGTATATTACAATTGAAGTTTTATCTATTATATCCTGAATTTTCAGCATCATTATTAAGTCTTAATATGGTTGCTATAGCAACATGTGGGTAGGGGTGGGTGGGGCAGGTACCAATTTCTCTTATGAAAATATCCAAAGTGTTATTTTATAAATATTTCTTTCTTTTAAAAGATCAAAATGTTTGGAAAATTGTTAAAGGATGAGTCTGGGAATGAGTCTGGGTATCGACTTAGAAAATATTGAAAATTTTAATGTCTGAAAAACCAACTCAATCACACATATTATTAAACTTCAATATCTTATCCTTCTTCTGAGAGTACAAAAATATCAATTTGTATCACAATTAATGAAGAATATTGGCATCAAAGACAGAATTGAAAAAAAATCAATGGCAAATATTTAATGAATTATTTATACAAAAGGTTTGAAACATATCCCCCAAATCATTGCTTACTTTCTTTGTATAGACATTGAATGGTATTTCTGGATAAGTGAATTGATATTTATCTGGGAAATCAAGGGATTATAGTCACTCAAAGTTACTGAGCGTCCAGATTTGAGACTTCAATTGTGTTGGTGAAGTTACACATATTTCAGTCAAATTCATGCTGAGCACAACATTTTGGTTTCAATTTTATAATCTGTATACTAGCGCAGTCAGATGTCCCTTTGGTAGTTCGACTTTTTCAGGAAAGCAACAAACTTGGCACAGTTGTAGAAACATATGATCTGAATGAAAAATGATTTCGGGGCAAGTGATTCAGGGTGGTCTTCATGGATTGTAAGCCTCTGACCCCCACCCCTATCAGGCAGGGAGGGGGTACATTATAATAAAATAAATAAAAATAGTTGTAAAGTATATTTCCCTAAATGACTTCATTTGGTGATTGCTTTGAGCCTTGAAATTGAGAAAAACCTATTTTAGAAGTGGTGTTTAGGAAGGAAAATACATTTTAACCCAATTATCTAGCGTGAATTCATCTTTCAAAGGGTCAAATATGGGACATAAAGTACTGTATTTCAAGAATGTGATGTCAAATCATCCTGAAAAAATTCATACTAATAGAGATAGAGGAGGTAATCATTCATATGATATATGGCTTGTGTAGCTCATGTAATTTTTGAGAAATAAATTATCGAAATATGGATATTTAAGCCCTTGCGGCCTAGGGGTGACCTTATTTTACCTTAATAATTTTTAAGATACGCAATGCTTGGGCCTCATATGAATTCTAAATGTTGCATTAAGTATTGTTTTGTCATATTATTCCTAATTAAATGTAAAAAAATTATTGGAAATTAAAAAAAAATCAAATTTTCATTTTCGGTTCTAAAGGGCCAGGGGTAACCATATTTTACCCTAATAATTTCCCAGATATGTAATATATGCATCTCAAATTAGCTCAAGATGTTGCATATAGTTCTGTTTTATCATACTTCTTCCAATAAGATGTAGAAAATGATCGGATATATCTAAAAAATTAGAATTTTCACTTAAGCTCTTGATGGCCCTGGGGTAACCTTATTTTACCTTAATAATTTTCTAAATATGAGACATAGTCACCTCAAATGAGCTTAAGATATGATATTTAGTCCTGTTTTATCATATCATTTCCAAGGAGTGAAAAAATGATTGGAAATTATAAGAAAATGACATTTTCATATAACACCCCCAATCCGCAACATCTTTTTGCAGCGCTGTAAACAGTACTGAACAGTGCAGTCAGAGTACTGCACTATAAAGCAATGTACAATGCTATTCTAACACCATCTGTTTTGGACAGCGTAGTTCAGTACTGTTTTTACAGCTCAGTACTGTTTTTACAGCACTGTTTATGAAACCATGCTGTTTGATGCAGTTTGAGATTGGTAGTGTAGTTTATGATAGGTCAGGAATGACCTAATTTTACCTTAAAAATTTAAACAAAGATATATCATATTGTCTACTCAAATGAGCTCAAAATAGTGAATATAGTCTAGTTTTGTCATATTATTGCTACTGAGATATACAATAATGATTAACAATTATAAAAAATGAACCTCAACAGCCATTTATTCCTTTTTAGTACCAATGGCAATACTATCTAGTTTTATAGAACATTTTCTAAGATATGAAAATGTCCAGTTCATACTCGCACGAGTAGTAGCATTGTTAAGATACTGTATATTATCATTTGAGTATATAATCCAAATCTATAAAACTTAATCAAAGGAGTCACAATTTATGGATTCTGACAGTCTCTCCTACAGCTACATAGCTCAGAGCAAATCAGATCTGCTTTCAAACATTTGCATCTGTTCTCTTGACACAGGTATCTACCCCATGACCTACATTTTATGTTGTGGCCTCAGTATCAGCAGTGGGAGTAGTCCAGCCACATTCATGTGGTGATAGAAACTGTGGGTAAGAATGCATCACAATGAATAAGGACTCTAGTCTTCTAATTTTAGGGTATCAAAAAAGATTTAAAGCTTAAGAACACTTGCGTAACCTCTGGGTACACCTTCTATTCCTGCAAATCAGTTGACTAAGAGTAGTAGCAGAATGCATCTAGCGATTGTATGAAAAATGGTAAGGGCTAAACTTCGTTCATGGCCAAGTGGCCTTGAAATATCTAAGGCAGGTCGTACATACTGGAAGAATTTCCCCTCACCATAGGCCATATGCAATCCAAATTGACATTTTCAGCACAAGTTACTGCCAGTTTAAACCACATCAAAATCAACTGTATTGACTATGATTCTTATTAGGTCATGACAGAAGCAGTCTTTGGCATGCTTCTTCATATGAGCGAATGGTGATGGCAGATACTTCACTATCGGGCTAAGATATTGCATTACCTCATTGTGAGGTCACTATCTTCTTGCCATCTTCCTCCAGGGTTTCAGTTTTGATGCCTGGAAGGAAAACAGCTCCCTCTTGTTCCAACTATCTTAGGAAATCTTGCCAATTCCACAGAAGAAAATTAGTAGGATATACTTTCCTCACTGTTCCAGTTTTGTGCTGTTTGTATCTATGCTCATTAACATCAAAGTTGAATGACTAAGCTACATAGTAGATGCCAAAATAATAGACAGGGCATGTATAGTTAAACATGCTAACAGTGAAATATAAAGAAAATTTGGTGATTATGCAAATATGATATTACCCACGTAAAAGTCTGCAAATAGTTCATTGTCTTGATGTCAGCTGGGATGTTTACAAGGACACTAGCTTAAAGGGGCAACAAGGTCTGTAGAAGATTCAAATTT